GGTAGGGACATCTTTATTTTTATTTTTTATTAATCATGAATATAATTAAAAGCTGGAACCCAATTCAGAATCAATGTAATATTCTGCAGCTGATAGAACTGGAAAGGAGGAGGGAAAGTATCGCAACAGATTTTGGAGAGTCATAAGTTGGATTTTGGCTATTTTCTTAGAATTTAGACAGGCGCATATGTTAGACCAATGCATTATCTCCAGGAAAAGCACTCATAGAGATGACAAAATAATTTCGACTTTGAGACAGGGAAGCTGCAAATAACCCACCCACATGTTTTTTCTGAAATGTTGTCCTGATTTTCAATCCATTCAACCCCTGCTTTTTCATTGTTTTAAGACACAGTTAACCCCTTAAAAGGAATAAGTGATTCCTCTGAGATAAAGTGGAAAACAATATTTCCCATGTTATTTTCCCATAGGGAAAACTCATGCAATCCATTGCTTTCAGCTCACTTTGGTCACCCATAATGGATATCTTTAAAATCCATTGAGGAATTATTTATTCCTTTAAAGGGGTTAACTGTGTGTCAAAATGCAACATATTGATGCAACAAAAATCGAAAAAGCAGGGGTGGAAGGGGTTGAAAATCAGGAAAACATTTCAGAAAAAAGAAATTATTTTATCATTAAATAATGAGTGCTTTTTTGGAGGTAATGCATTGGCCTAACATATACACCTATTTAAAAAATAACAAAATAGCCAAAATCCCAGTCCTGTATCAAATTATCCATAACACCAATCTTAAAGATGCGTTCTAAGAATGGTAAATAAAGACCTTTCCTCTTTCCCCAAAATTTAGAAAGTATGTTGATAAATAAGCAAGAAATTAACTCACAATCGCGGAAAAGGGATCCAGAGAGAAAAGCATTTTAAAATTCTCACATGTGTTTTTCATTGAATCCAATGGTACATAAATACTGAAAACAAAATAAAACTTATATCCTCAACCTAGTTAGATAGGCCAACACGAATTCAAATTCAAAATAACCATTAAATTCCGCACCGCGCGCGCATAAATCCGTACCCTTTCTTTTCGTATAGCACAATCTGCACAGGGTGTATTCTTTGGTTCCCGATCTGATGTGCTATAGAACACCATGTCTTTCCAATGAAAGCGCTCTGATTTATCAGATTATCAAGCAATCCAATTACAAGCTAAGATCAAATGTATCATTCTAAAAATGATTGAACTTGTTCTAAACAAACATGTCCATGATTAGGTTACCCTGATGTCCAAAGGCTGCAAGTAATTACTGCATACGCAGATGAAGCCCGCTTTTAAAGAAGCGAAATCAAACTATTGAAAAGGGTAGGATAAGGTAAGATATCACTATCGATAACAAAGGGTCACGTCCTGAATAATTGATGTTAAAAAATAACAATTCTGATTACAAGGTTTAATACTGATTTACCATGGCAACAAATCATTTACTCCAAAATTAACATTAACGGCATTAATACAGAAGCAAAAAGGGGCACATGTGACAGAACAACTCAAAAAAGGAAATTAGTGAGCTAGTAGCTTTATGAGTCCTGGATCCCAATTCCAAAGCACCAGGTTGTAATTGTAATCGTATATATGCAACAAATGAAGTGCCTACCAGATAGGTTACCATAAAAACATTAATGTCGTGAAAATTCTGCTTATAAATCGTGAAATAAGGAAAAAAGAAAAATTGTAACTTCGAGGTTCCGACATGTTGTTACCGAAACGTTTCCGTAAGTTTTGTTAAAGAGTGCAGTAAAAGTGTTGTTAAAATATTTCCACCTCTGGAATTATTGGCTGTTGCGTCTTTTACCGGTCACCACCTGGTTATACTTTATAGCAAAATGGATGAACTTCCGTTGAGAAATTTGTAAGATTTTTTATTTGCATCATTTTCACAAAGAGGTTGATTTGTATCCAAATAATTTACCCGCATATCCGGTTACTGAAACTTAACGCAACGCAAGAGGGAACCATTGGTCTTCTTTCCACCTTTCATACTCGGGCCTTCCTTAATGGCCCATACACATGCAGAAAGAAATGTAGAAAGTTCATATCACTTTGGTACATGTTTTATGTTTGGTGGGTAGCTGATTGAACAGTATTGGACCAAAGGTATTTCTGTAAATAGCGAACGGTGATATATCCAAGTGGCATACCTGCAATTCTAACCAGTCTGAGTATATGTTAGTGTCTATAGATTAATTATAAGAATCTAGACCAATGGGTTGGATTATTAATGATGGAGCCAGATATTAATTAACAGTGATTTGTAATTTAATTGTTCTATTTGTGTCCCACATTCTGTCAAAATAACGCGTTGATCAATCTGCCTTGACGTTATCTCCTACAATGCCGGTTACTAGAATAGTACTCGAACTCTGTTACTGTATATTCGACATCATTAATAGTGCACTTATGAGGACCGTGCACATGTTTCTATCAATGAGTCGATATATCTATCAATATGGACCTTTCGATAGATAGTGGCCATCGCAACATGTTATATTGCGATGTTATATTTTCAATGAAGGACATGTCCATGTTTGCCTGGCACCTAAATCTCCTTCAAACATTTTACATAGTTGGGTGTTGCCAACTAACGCGATTATTACATGTATATCGATTGAAAAATGGGGAAAGCCATGGACTGACCATGGGCTATTCAAATGTATACAATCAAGAAGGAAAAACAACCTTATTTAAACTTAAAAATGGTCGTGATTGTAGAGAAAAAGAATTTAAAAATCGGTGAATTCATCCTTATATTGTTTTGATAATTTAATTGCGAAAACAACGGACGTACACCAAGATCAATTGAGGACACTGTTCCAATGTGTCATTCCGATTCGGAGATTCACTATATTACCAATTCCATTGACCCATGAGCATCGATTTGTAAAAGAAGGACAAAGCTGGTGAAACATAAAATAACTCACTGACGCAATCATTCATTTAAAAACCACCATCGTCAAAACACGTTATGCCTATAATGGGGAGTTTAAGCTGGCATATAAAATCGAAACGCCAACCTATACGTATGACCAATCACCCATACAAATGCATCGCTTAAATATTTTCTGTTCGAGTTTAGGTTGTGAAAAATTGCAAGCTTAAAGTCCCTAATAACATAACAACGCCTATATATAGACAAGAAGACCAAGACAATTTTATCATCGTATTTTAAATACTTTAAATTGAACATACATTCTTCCTCCATCAAGATGAGATGAGTTGATTGACTTGTTCCTCGACTTGTTCCTTACACTAAATGTCGTTTTAGCACTAGTTAGTAGAACGCAGTCGTGCATGCGGATAGGTCCATCCCAATCAACCAATTTAATACATTCAATCATTCATCTTGTTTGTATGTTACTTGAGGCATTATGAACTCTCTTAATGAGATTCTAACAACATCCGCACGATTCCGAGAACAATAGATTGGATGCAATGGCGTATCAAACATACAAATATAAAGGCAAATGATTTCTAGATATGTTGATCATTTGATTAATTATCGGATAAAGAGCACATTCGATTTTATGTTGACAAAACTGATATGATAATATAAGTCTGTATGCTCATCTTTTCAATAACTTGCATTATAAGTATACAGGGTGTCCCGAAAGTTATGCCGGATATGACCTTAAATACACTGCAAATAGGGGTATGGCATTTAATAATCCTCATGAAAGAGTTTCCTTGGAGTATCTGCCCTTAACGACCTCTTTTTACAACTCAATATCCATACTCTCTTAACAATAGCACCCATATTTTTGGTCAAATTCAGGTTAGCGGTGTTTCCAGGATATTGATTTTAACTTTAATTTTGGCCAAACACTAAGTTTTGAATTACCTGCAACTTTTTCCTATTTGTAGGTTGAACGATGATACTTGGCAAATCAATGTAACTTTGGATGAGCTTTAAAATGATATATGGCACATACTATGGGAACATTGGTGTATGTCTTCCTAGGGGGGGGGGGCTACTTTCGGGACACCCTGTAGGTTAATAATTACCATAATTTACCATTTTGTCCCATTCCTTCTCACTCATGCAAGTTGTGAAGCAAAAATGTTCTGTTTGATAGGTGATCATTTTTAAACCCATCGTTTATATTAGACAGGACATATTAGGTTTGTCGGGGAATGTCTGATCTCGCCCAGTTATGCCTCGACGTGTCAGCTTCTAAATATACACGTTTAACAAAGAGACGTTATAGTATACGGTAACATGCATAGAAAAACGAAGGAAATCTTAAACTTTAGCCTACGAATTATATGTAAAGGTCCATGTGCAGTATTTCAAGTGATTTAAGACGGTCTTATCTTTCACCATGTGTACTTTCTGGCCATAAATACAGTGGTTTTTAGTAAAACAATAACTTGTTATCTTTCTATCAATCAAACTCTTTGAAAAATTATGGATTAGGACCCCACCTTGGCACTTTTTGAAAACTGTTATGCTCATTTTCTAAAAAGAGGATCTTGTTTTCTCAATTTAAATAGATCAAGAGTTTCTTCTACACTATATTAACAATTTCTGAAAAGGGGATGAGTATTGAAATGCGTTAAAGTTAAAAAGCACATTTCCCATACGGAAAACTCGTGCTATCCATTGTTTTCAGCATAATTTTGGTCATCGGAAATTGATATCTTCAAAACTAGACTTTCAATACCATTCTACTTTTTAAGAAGTTTTAGACCCCTTGTTGAATAATCTTTTCATGCAATAAAAATCAGAAAAAGTAGATCCTCTTTTGAGTAAATGGGTTCAATATTTTGAAAACAATGTTGACATGGGGTCCCTTTTCATAATTTTTCGAATTGTTGATTGATATTTTGATCGTCATGGGTACTTCACTTGAAAGAAAACATTGTTTTAATAAAAACACTGTATTTATGCCCAGAAAGTACTCATGATTGAGCATCATGATATGACCGTCTAAAATCACTTGCCATACTTCAAAGAGACCTTTTACCATGTCCTATGTTTTTCAGATGACCTTTGCGAATAGAGCCCTCATAGAACTTGTGAACTCGTATGATCCAGTGTATTGGACAAAACTCAAGTAAGACCATTGCAAACATGTCGACTGAATCTGCCTTATCTATTTTGATATTGTGCAATCTATATATTTGTTATATATCTATTATATATTTATCATATAAATGATCATTTGTGTTGATTGCAGGAATAATGTTGCATTCAACATAGAGAAATTTGAAGGTGCAGCCTTTGACCAAGAGAAACGGTTTACTCCAGTCGATTCTGCACTTATGCAAACTTTGGCAAAATCAGCTGCAGACTTGTTGGGTAGATTACTTCAATATATTCTTTGCGATAGCTTGTTATCTTATTAGTCACATAGGATTCCTAGCAATTATCTTATCTGTAAATGTACTTAGTTGGGATATATTTTTTATCTCTTTGACAGCTTTGACTTTTAGAGAATGAAAATAAAATTTAATATCATATAGTTTACTTATCGTTAGTACTAAAATGTAGTTCAAGAGCTGTTGTAATTAAGTTTGTTAATTTGTGAAGTAACAATCCGAAGACTCATCGCATTGGCTCAATCGATGAATATCACAGTAAGCGTCCCATTTAGCACTGGTTGTCAATTCCTAATTGGGAGACAGTTCGAATATTTCGAGGCTATGGAAAGAATCATGTCTGTTTATGTAAGGGACTTAACGATATTAAGGCTGTGGTGTAAAAGGGATGAGTGTCTCTTGGATCGAGAAATTGCCCCCTTTCATACATTTATATCTAGTGTTTTGAATGCCCTACGGGAAAATCGAAATGATTGCAAATCTAGATCTTTTTGTATTTAGCGTGACATTGTTAATATATTGGATGAGTACATATGTTTAGTAATGAGCCAAGGGAGTAGTACGGTGCCATAGTAGTCATATAGTTAACTTATTACTCATTTATAATTATTTGTTTGACTTAGCCCAGCCATAAGTTTTTTAATATACAAAACTCTGCGATCGGGGAATATATTGTAGTTTTAATCCTTATTGAATTCCAAAATCGGACCAAAATTCTCATAAAACCTGAAGATGGAACTCATTTTACAAAATGGAAAACCTATTTTCCAAAATGCCACAGCTATGGCGTCCAATGATGACTCTTTGTTCCGTTTTTAATATTTCTCAGCTGTTGTATCTTGAGAACTTCACTCCATAAGATTCCTATTTGTCCATTCATTCTAATCCAAAATGAAAATTCTTTCTTTTCAGCAATTCCGATAGAATCTTTCATGGTGCAATACGGGAAACATTTCTTCAAACTATGCATCGACAGCTACGACAGGGAGCTTCGCTCTTTAGGCTCAACTCTCTTCAGTTTCCTTAGCAATCTTGATGGACTTGTCGGTCATATTAAACGCACAAACAAATGTTTAAAATGCGACAGCTACCAACTACCATCTTTCTGTTGTACAGAGAGAGTAAATGGGCTTCTTTTTCAATATTTCACAAGTAAAATAGGTATGGGACCATTCATCAAAGGTATTATCCAACAAGTTGCCAATGACATGTACGATATAACTGTGAACATCATTGATCGTTCTGAAGAATATAAACACATGGGATGCTATGCATATCTGATTGTTCAAACAAGTGACTCAAATCCAGTGAATTGTTTGTTCAGTGGACGAGGAAGGCTTCCCAAAAATGTCAACTCAAGGATAGGAGTTGTCACCTTCTGCAAGACATTTCCCTTTAACATCATGTTCGATCAGAACTTGAGGATCTTACAACTTGGATCTGCACTTATGAAAATTGTAGCTTCGGAGATCAACACGAAGGGATTGCAATTTCAAACTTATTTTTTAGTTACTAAGCCACTAGTGAAGCTGACGTTTAATTCATTTCTTTCTAAATCGAATTCAGATTTCACGGTTCAAGTGAAGCAGTCATCATCAAGGAAAGACGGGTCTTTGTCTCAGGTAATTTGATTTCTTCAGAACCAAGTTAATATATTGGAAAATGAGTGTTGGATGGATTTGTGTAAACTATGTTGTTTTGTATTTAAATAGTTGGTCTTCTATTATTCTCATGATGGATGGCATTAGTGCCATCATTGACATGATTTTACAACGTAAAAGGATGTGGTTCTATGATCAATGGAATGCTTTTACCAATCGCATATTAATTGTATTAAATGACCATTGTAGAACATCAATGCGTACCCGTTCTGATTCATCAGTCTCTAAAGCTCTCTACTATTCAAATGGATGGTAGAGACTGTGGATCCTATAATGACATATACCATTTTTATACATATTAACTTAATCCTAAAATGGGCAAGGTAGATACACCATGGTCTATGAATACATATGGTACAATGGTAACTTTTCGAGATCATATGGGTTGTTTATACTTCTATTTTGAAAATGAGTATAGTCATCAATATATAATATTGTTTTCTGGTTGCACAGCGTCAGAAACAAAGAACTTAGTTGATGCAAAACTTAAAATGAATTTTCTCTTCTGATCATTAAGGTTATCGACGTCCTCGGGCAAACTATATGAACTTTGATAATAGAGTTATTCGGTCTACCTGGCATGTGATTGACTCCCGGCATCTATCTTGTCGCTTACAGCTGGTTTTACATCACCGTTTTTATTCATCTATGAGGCACTCGTGAAGAATATCGGAAGTAATCTGATTTCCCATTAGTGTTATCATTGTTTAATTTTCCAAGTGAGTTAGCACATGTCAGGTTCATGATCAAAAAACATACTTGACTTCACTCTCCTATGTTGAGTATCATGTCCGGGTATCATGTACACTGGACAGCTAGTTAAAAATGCAAGACTGTCTTGAGATGAAGATTGAAGGGCAATATGGGGCATGCTATAGGGTGTCTCACTTCTTCTAAAGTCTCATGTTACAGAGGCTACAGAGGCTTAATGCTAAATGGTTGAATTGTGAGATCGAGTACAACATTGTAGTTGCACATCTGACACCATTGGAATGATGTGATAGCGGAGGAATCTCAATGCGAATGTTATCGGAGGAACTACATTCTGTCAACGGCGAATGTTCATTTAGATCGCAACACTATCTGGTCATATCACATATGAATTAATCACTGTGTCTTGCCATTAATGTGGAATTGGAATCGGATTTTAGCGTGTTGTTTCACCTTACTGCGTAGACAATATTCAAATTACCTATAACCCCCATTATATATATTGTTGATTAAATTCATGGGCATTTTCTTATAATTTTATTACCATCAAGTTACCATCAATTTCGATTAACAGCATCAATTTTCCCATCGCTAATCTGATTATCAAAACATTAAATGAAAAACCAATAGTAAAGAGAATTTATTTTGCAGTCCTAATAATTCGATATATCCTTTTGCAACAAAGCGACCTTGAAGCTTCCTGGTCAGCAAACGCTCCTTATTTTGCATTGTACTATTTATTTAGTTTTTAAAGCAACATTTTGAATTCTACACATTCTTTCAGAACATGGAGCTAACTGGGCAAATGGTGCATGCATCCGAGTCCAATGCTATGTTGTTCCTGGGTTCACCATCTGTGGAGAAGCTAGACGAACTCATTGGTAAAGGTATCTACCTATCAGACATCCCAATTCATGATGCAACACGTGACCTCATTCTCGTAGGCGAGCAGACTAAGGCTCAGGTGAGAATGTCTCATCAGCTTTATGATTCATCTATGTTTGGGTTACAACAACAGCAGAGAGGGGTTGGGTTCGAGTTAGCTTCTTGTATTTTCTCATTCAGTTTGTATTGGTTTCGTTTCACATTCTTGTCATTTCATACCCTGGGTTTCATACTCAACGCAGTTGTCAAGTGTTCCAGTAAAAACCCCGGGAAAGAAACATTTGGACAAGTTATGGACACCTGCTTTCGGAGAATACTTCGATTTTCTAAGCTTAACTTTCTCACTTTGTTTGCCCGGTCATTCGCAAGCTCTCGAAGAGTGTGTTGGTTTGGTTCGTGTATTTAACGATTATTACTTTACGTGATAAATGTTTCTCATATTGCTTAAAATTTCTAAATCGGTATCACAGAGCAGCGACAGTTTATTGGCAATCAGTTCAATTATTGAGCTGGTTGTTATATTTAATCTTTGATTAAAACACCGAGAAGCCAGGTAACAGGACAACTCATCCCAAATATTTGAAAAATATTCAGAGATTTTAGCAGTAAGCACAAGTGTTTGGCCATAGAATATCTTTTGTTTTTTGTAGTTAGTTTAGACTAGTTTTAGTTAATTTTTGTTGATTGATTGGGAAAAAGGTAAACGTGTTCAATATAATTCTTAATCCTAAATAAGATTTCAAACTTTCAGATTCATATATTCAATTTTATATTCTCAAATATATTGAGAATAACCCAGAATTAATAAAAAATACCAGTACAAAAAGTAAAACATCACTTTCAAGTGCCATGATTTCAAAATGCTAAAAATTAGCAATATTAGATTGAGAGTGTATAATCAAATATCACTTTGTAATCGTGAGAATCGTGAAAAAGGGATATTAATATAAAATAGAGGACAAAATAATTTATCAATGACACTGTAAGTGGGATGAGTTGTCTTGGGATGAGATGTGTTGGGATGAATTGTCGTAAGGCCAGGATGAACTGTCTTGGGTTGAGTTGTCTTAGGGATGCGTTGTCTTGGGATGAGTTGTCAAAGGGATGACTTGTATTGGGATGCGCTGTCTAAAAACCAGAAGCCATCCTAATAGCATCACTCCTTAACATAAGTTCTCGATGCATTAGAACATACTTCTGGGGATCCTTGTACACGAGATGACAAAATTGATGTTACTGAATCGTGTTTCTACAAAATACCATTAATCGAACTGAACTGAAGTTGACAGCCGATATGTTGAAAATGTCCACGTAGAACTTCCTATTACCCATAAAACCTCCCATAAACAGATCTATATGGATTGAATTTGCCATGGGCCTGGACTTTTAGAGAAGCATTGTGATACACATTTATGAGTGTGGTGGGTCCGACTGAGAGTTATCATATGCACCCTGGGTATGATTACAATGTAAATTAACAGCTATCTGTTAATTTGTGCAATGAATAAAAATAATGACCAATGCTTCAATTCGAAGCTTTTGACTACATCATTTGCTCATCCCATCGCTCTCGTTCTGGTATTTTATCTTGTCTCATTAAATACAAAGACATTTTGAATGTTTTATGACTTGATTTCCCATCCATTTAGAGCCTTTAGAATAGACCCTGCATACAAATAAGATCGTATGCTCAAACTCCCTCAAGATAAATACAATCTAAAAGATTGGGATGTAGTAATATATTGTTTATGTTCTAAGTGCCAAGTTTCAAACACATACAACAGATTACAAATTAATTATTTTATGTATTGTAAGGGTTTTCTCCCACACACAAAAATTGCTACTGATCATACTCCCTTCTTTCTGTGGGTTATTACGACAAACCTACATCATGGTAAAGGGGGTGAACCTGGACGAATTGGTAGGAGCCAGATGATGTTCACGTTTAGGCCCATAGTTTCACAGCCTTTGTTTGACATAGCTTCTTCAAAGATAACCTGTCTACTTTGTTACTACAAAACTAACATCTGCGCGCAGGGTATGTTTTGTGGAGGTGGTCCCAAGAAGAAGGAGCAAGGGGTTCTGGCTTGAAGGTTAAACTAGTACAACTATCACACATTTTAAATTAGTCATAGTCATTGATCCCTATATTTGCAATTGCTTGAACCTGAGAAGATAGTATGCTCTAATTTGTTTTCAATCTGACAACTAGTACTTGGCTAATTGCAACAAAACTGTACTTTCGCCGTTGAATGATAACTTTAAATGAACATTCCCGATTCCCATGATGTAAAGAGGCTTTCGAGAGATTTTCTCAATTAGAGGTAAATCTACAGAGTAAGTGTTATATTACGTTGTATAAATCTGGTTAATCTTTTCCTAATTGACATCGATGTATTTCCTGAGAGATCATTAACTTTTGAACCTGTCTATGCACATCCTTTGTTGCAGCGATCGCCAGAAAGTGATCTCTGTCTCTCTAAGTGATTGATGTATTTCCAAGCTTTTGCACCTGTCATAGATCAATAATTAAGATGTAGAAAGTCTATACATGTACAATACCTGTATTTACCAGCTCTGGAGTATATGTTGTCTAAATAGAAAAATGTTCCCCAGGATACTGCAAACTTTTAACAAGTTAAAAGGCCCTATGTGAAACTTTTCAATTTAATTTCAAAAAGTTTATTTTATAGACTTAATTTCCGTTAGTAATCGATAGTATCAAAACACATTTTAATTCTTTCATTTGTTACAAATGAGACCATCATCGCCATATCAGGATTCTGCTAAGTGGAAACGTATCTCTTATGTTTTGATTAATTTGAAATAAAAGGTTTTTATTAAGCTTAATAACAACAATAACTATAAATGTTGAAAGGAATAATATACCTCAGCACCGGTAACACCTTAGCAATTTCCAATAAACAAACACCGATTGTAGCAATCTGCTCATACAATTTATCAAAAAAAAAATTCTGGACAAAAATATTTACTTTATAACAAATTTTACTTTAATGTTATGATTGTAGGATGGTTTAAAGAAGAGAATGGAAAGTCTGAAAAAAGATATTGAAATCGCAACAGCTGCTGTCGAGACTGAAAAACAGAAAAATGTTGAACTGTTAAATATGGTTTTCCCGAGAGATATCGCAAAGAAATTGTGGCGTGGTACGTAACATCCCAATGCAATGTTACTTCATCGACATACGCAATTCTATTACGTGAATGGGAATATAAGATTCTGTAATTTAGTTGGGATTAGATATGACATGCAATATTTGTTTTGAAATTAAGTATCAGGAATCAAAAATATATTTCTTCTATCATCTTATATTGAGTGTTCGATAATGTTTTGAGTTATGTACTTTTAGGAGAACAAGTTGAACCAAAATGTATTGAGAATTGCACTATGCTCTTTAGTGATCTTGTTGGATTCACTGCTATTTGCTCCACGTGTACCCCGATGGAGGTCATTAACATGTTGAACACAATGTACACAGAGTTTGATCAGTTCTGTGGGGAGCTTGATGTTTACAAAATTGAGACGATAGGTGACGCTTATTGCGTTGCTGGTGGCATTCACCGGAAAAGTGACACGCATGCGCAACAGATAGCCTGGATGGCGCTGATGATGATGGATGCTGTGAAAAACATGAAAGCAAAGGACGGCAACTCTCTACAGGTTCGGAACATTTCAAACACTAAATCCCAACTTTTGTTTTGTCAAAGAATTTCTTAGACATGCGTAGTATTTTTATTTGTAATGTAAGTCATGTATGTAGGCCTACACGTTTGTAATATTGCAACCAGGTGCTTACACGTCGTCTAGCTAATTTACCTTTGATATTTCATTTTATATCTATGGTTTTAGATGCGGATTGGCTTACATACTGGTAGCATTGTCGCTAGCGTCGTGGGGATTAAAATGCCGAGGTATTGTCTGTTCGGTAACAATGTAACTCTCGCCAACAAATTCGAATCCGGCAGCATCGCTATGCGGATCAATATCAGCCCAACGACATACGAGTAAGCAATCGCAATATCTAAATAAAAAAGGCTTTAACCTAAGTAGACTATGATATTCTGGTAATAACCTCTCAAAAATGATATAATCATCTCAAATAACTCCCTTTTATCGAACCGCTTGCTCATCCTGCTTCATTTAAAAATAACTAGGTACTCTCCCAACTATTTAGCTCGTTTATCATCATATTTATCAAGAAAGTGAGTCCAGCGTTCTCGTATTGCGTGCAGCATCGTACGGTGCGCCATGCGCAAACATGTCCTAGATTTGCCCAACTCGGCTATGTTTATTCCCCCAAAATCCCCAAGATTTCACCCCAACCAATTCCCGATTACCACACTTTTTCACGAATCTCTCTCCTCCATATGCACTCTTTCAATATAAAATATTGATCATCCCCAAAAGCAGCAATAATTATTCATTTATGTCCAGCAGATCTCACTCCCGAGTACTAAATGAGGTTCCTAATGCAAAATATCAATTAATGATTTACTACATATTAAATCAGAGTCAAGGCACACACTAGCTACATAATTGTACCTAATTGTACTTAATTCTTGTTACTGACTTTTTTAATGTGAACAACTATAGTCAAATGTTTTTTCTCATTTTGAACAATATAAAGAAAATGCATATGTATGTTCTTGTAATATCGAAGATAATATTAAGTATTCTTATTTGCAGATTATTGAACCAGACCCCAGGCTTTGATTATACCTCTAGATCACGTGATGAGCTTCCTTCCGGGTTCCCAAATGACGTAAAAGGGACCTGTCATTTCCTCAATAGCTATCGATATGCACGAATCAAAGACGGAAACACTCAGTCAATTAGGACTCATATACTAAAAACTGTTGAAGACTTGGACATAAAGAGACTTGATGACTGATAATTTAATTTAAGTTTTTGAGGAGCTCATGTCTCTACCAGAATGGATGAAAATGACTGATATGTCTACGTTTTCGTCGTTTTGCGTTTATAAATAATAGAAGTAATTTTGGAGTGTGCTGCGTGTGAAATCATAAATATCCTCGATATCTTCAAATCTATCCATGATGTACCTATTCAAAGTTAACAATGTCAGACAATACAGACTTGCCAACCTAAAATGAAAATTTTTCGGGAGATTTAAAAAAAGATTTAACGGGAGTTATACCAAGAATACGGGAGATTTTACGGGAGTTATACCAGAATACGGGAGATTTTACGGGAGATTTCAGCAAAAATACGGGAAATTTTACGGCCATATTTTAAAAAAAATTACGGGAGATTTTAGTAGAAATACGGTACGGGAGTTTTACGGGAGAAAACGGTACGGGAGTTTGGTATTTTTTACGGAAAAACAATTTTTTTTTACGGGAATCTAAAAAACGGGAGGTTGGCAAGTCTGCAATATGTACATGTTATTTGTGACATTATAATACTCTCTTTTTATATACCTAGGATGGCAAAACGCGTATTTAATTGCATGACTATACACTATTGTATACTTCAAATAGAAAATATTCAGCTGATTCTACTTGCATTGTTTGAAACTGGGATGGATATAATAAAGTAAAGATTATATAGAATGTTAATCCCAGGCGAGTTTAATTATAAAAGGACAGTGGTCTTACTTTGCACAGAACCTCAAACCTCGAGTATCTCATTGTTTAAGACATTAGAAATACCTTGTTCAGATAATCCTTGGATTTAAACTTATTATTGCTTTTGCTAACTTTGCTAATTTTTTGCATTCTATATATAAAATGAATCATTCTCTTATGTTTGTCAACTATGTCATTATAAATAAAGTACGAGTTACTTTTTGTTCACAAAACAAGTAAAATTAATGTTATGACCAATCCTCCATAGTCCTTTAAATGTTATTTATACACCAAAAAAGAAAAAGAAATAAATTGATGAGCACCGATACAAATCAAAAATCGTTGTTTCCGTAGTTTTACTGAACCATTGGAAAGTACAAGGACATCTCAAAATGCAATCAAGACGCAACCCATCTAATGCCTTGGTCATATTTGCTCTGATTTTCACTACGGCGCCCGGCCGATTGAGTATTTTGTTCAAAATTGAATACAATATACATTGAACAAAACACTCAATCGGCCGGCCGATGGATCGGAGCAAATGTGACCAAGGCATTACTCCAGTTGGACAATCTCGATTCAACTAAATAATAACCCTACTATCACACCAAACTAGTTCTCACTACGTCCTCGAAAACGGGCTTAAACTGTGCACGAACGGATTTGACGTACTGAGAACCAACTAAGAACCGTTTGGGATCTGTTTACAAACTTTATGAAACTACTAGAACGAGTAGGTCCTCCACACCTTAGAGCATGCTCAAAATTTTCTGGTGATCGTCAAAACGTTGCCGAATCGGTTTTAAACTGTGTGCAAACTGAATGAACCTAGCTACAACGTTCTACGGTCTGTTTACGAACTTCATGAACTTTCCCGGACGGGGAATGTGATTTAGAATTTTGAATCGATTCAAAATTCGATGGCGACCATACCGTTCTGTAATCAGGTCATGGTGACCCTCTAGACCAAGGGACGGTTTATACTACGTTGCACACCGATGTGCTGCGACCTAAACGAACTGCGAATGAGATGGACGTATTGAAAACTGTTTATGAACGAAGTAGCTAATTATTTTAGACATATATCCCGACCGCAGTCAGATTGAGCCCGTTTTACGACATTTTCGTAGGACTGGCAAGAACGAGTAAGAAATAGTTTGGTGTGATAGGGGTAAGCAAGTACACATGTTTTTGAGTCATTTTTGATCACATTTGTTATTTGTTTATAAGATGAAACCTGTAAGTATAAAAACGCTTTGATATCATAAACAATACCCACTAGTAGAAAGCAACACGGTTATTATATCAACTAAAAATACAAAGAAACTTAGCTTTCTTTTGTAAAATTTATTTGTTCACGATCAGTAGATTTAAATCATTGAATATACTGCAGTATAGGCTACATCCAAATGATAAATAGGTACAGTTGGGGACATAAATAAATGACAGGTGGATTTGCTGAAGTGAGGATTTCCCATGTTAAAAATAAGAGAATTTACAAGAGGCCATAAATCAGTGGATGAGATTATACAAAATGTAAGATATACAAATTTTAAGGGATATGTATCTAGACAATATTTGAAATTATGGGCTTTCAGACCACCATAATTAGGAAATGGTGATCGAAAATCGACCTGTCATTTATTTTTGTCCCCAACTGTAGTTGCATTGATATTTTACACTTTCTGGTTATGATGTCATCTCGCTAGAATTTATTTGATTGTAATACTAGATACACTGTATATGCATCTATTTTAAGTAGAAAACAGCAACTCCACGGAGTAGCAAAACCCATCGAATAAAAAAGTGTTATAATTTATTTTTAAAATACAAGTGTCCCATTTTTGGACCACCCTGTATGCTCATGACAGATTCACTTCCCCGTAACAGGGAGGCGAATGTTCCTATTCTATACAAACGAGTAAGGTTCAAGTTTCAAGACCATTATAACGTTTCATCACAAATTTTTAACGGACACAGCTCCAGATCAGTGAAACAGTTCCCAGTGTACGTTATTGTCTCGTTTAGCTTGCCATTACAAGATAGTCTACCGTGACCACATGGATTTTGAGATAAATGAAGAGAGATCTACAACCGAAAAGCTACCTGTCTCAGAAAATAATTCTGTTCATAGGCAAAACACCCCTAATTCACGTCAACTTATAAGTCATTGGGCAAAAGGGCAAACGTCTTATTTTTCATTTAGAGTTATGAATTTGTGTGGCCTCACTGGTCTATCTGAGGTTCAAAAGCAATTTCTGAGCTACATTTTGACACTAAACTCAATAGGGGTTAAATATCTACTTATTGAAACAATGCCACCTAGCTGCCACCTGGCTATCTGCCGCCAAATATAGTTAAATGTTATCATTGCAAAAAGACTCTACATGGTCACAATTCTGTTCCGGACTACATTCATTTTTTAAAACTACCTTTTTCGGAAGTGACATATCGGAGCGTTTTGAGTCTTTGACCATAGTCTCAAAAATCATTCTGCCATCTCTAAGAAATTACGTTGGTATGTGTATGTAACCAAACCTGAAAATGTTTCCTGATATAATAGTAATTACCAAATCTCGATTCATATCAAACCAAACACTAAAACAACAAATTACCAGGACTCCAAATATATATATATATTCCAAAATATCTGGATACAAATCGACCTCCTTCTTGGTGGAAATGATGAAAATAAAAAATCCTCCGACGGAAGTTCATCCAGGAGTCGAAATATTACACGCCCACGTACACAATCTCTTAAAAACGTGTATCTTAACCTCTTTATTGTATACACCCTATTACAGTTCTTGTAAAGCTGACCACTAACATTTGCGTGCTACGTGCTCTTCAAATCATTAGCAATTTACTAAATAGGGGCAGCTTTGCGCAGAAGTATTAATTATGTCAGCGTAAATTAGAAAACCATGTACCTCTAGTAAGGATAAATTACCTGGGATATAAAGCAAAGGGAATACGATCTGTTTGTTATTTTCCTCACGAGTGAAATAAATCAGCCATCATCGTGATATGTGGAATGTTTTGATGAAGGATCAATTATTGATCCTCATTACATTGTTTTATGCTCATTTGTTTTATTGTGCATTCTAGAACGTGCATCTGGTAAGTTTGGGCATTAGGTTGACCTAAGTACAACTTTTGATACGTAACCAGGGCCAGTGAGGGCCATAGAATGGGAGAGGGAGGTATGGAGAAACATAATATTCAGTTTCAATTGCTCTATGCACTAGCTCCATTCACAAAATCTTATGAAGTGTCATTTACCCCCCCCCCCCCTTATGACACCACATCCCTAGTTCTCAACCGTTCTTTCCAGTCCTACAAAAAGTCGTAAAACGGGCAAAATCTGGCAGTAATCGGGCAACATGTTTAAAATAATTCGTTCATAGACAGTCTCCAATACGTCCATCTCATTCGCAGTTCGTTCAGGTCGCACCGCGTCGGTGTGCAGACGTACTGCAATTGATATCCTATTGCACAACGTCGTATAACGCGTTCTAGTACGATCGACGAAGGTTCATGAAGTACATAACTAAACTTTAATTAGAAAGTTGCAGCTACGTTCATTCCGTTCGCACACAGTTTAAAACCAGGCAACAATAAGGCAACATTTTGAAGAACGCAGTGGCAACTAGTTTGGTGTGATAGCTATATATTTAATTTGCTAACACCTTCATAAGCAGTCTTTAGTCTTTAATGCGTTCTTAATCAGTTTAAATCCGTTTGCAATTAGTTTTACCTCGTTCTCAATATGTTCTCAGACAGTTCAACTCGTTGTAAAAACGTCCCTAGTATGATTGAAATACGACAGTTCCGTTCGTAGTACGTATATGTCAAGCTCGTCGTTAGTCACTCGTTCTGATTGCAGACCACGACGACAACGAGAACATTTTGAGCATGTTCTAAGTTCTAAATGACCTACCCGTTCGAGTGAGTTTATGAATTTCATAAATAGGCCCCAGACGGTTCTAAGTACGTCCACTCCGTTCGCACACAGTTTAAGCCCGCCGTTTTTCGAGAACGTAGTGAGAACTAGTTTTGTGTGATAGTAGTGTTAGTGAAAGTGCTTGGACGTTGTTGGAAACAAATCTATTATAAAGCCAATTAGTAAAAGGAGCCGCAAATTGCCGACGGACGAATGAACGAATCCACAGTCTCCCCATGTGCGCCAAAACATTAATTCATTTGATTTCTTTTTTATTTACACTACATTCATTTTACATTTTACAAAACCACAGCCAGAGGGCGTAGCAATGAACAGAACTGAAAATAAAAGTAGTCCCGACAAATACACGCAACACTTATGATTTATCATATTGGTGAAAAGGAGGTTTGTTAAACTATATCGGAATTCTATTAGTAGGTTAATTATTGGCCCACTCGATATTGAGATAAGTCTATGGCCTGATGATGCCTTCCTTATCTACGGACTTACCTTCCAAGGAATTTGACTCTGTTTCTGAAATATTCGATCGTCGGAGAATTTGAAGGCAGCTAATACTGCAGAAGAACCGTTGAAGAAACCAACCTGCAATCTGCAAATCCGAATGACTCGGGATATTGAATATGTTCTAGGGCTGATATCTGAGTGGATTCATTTATTTGATTTATAACAAACGGAGCTATATATTAAGTTGCCTGTACCGTAATTTGATACCAGCTTGCAAGAGAAAGAATTACAAGGAATATAAGGAATAGCCTAAAATGGTAAGTTAAACCTGCTATTGATAAAACATAATGTTTCACAACAAATTCTTGCATTTAATCTATTGAATAACAGCTAGATTGCTAATTTGTCAAAAATACAGAATATATGGTTTTCTAGCCAACGTTTTTGTTTGAATAATATGAGAACTATGGTAAATTGAACTTAGATTCAAGACTATTTATACAGACAGATTCAAGGTTGTTTTTTAGTACTGTGCTGAATGAGGGGCGATTGCGACAAGCAGTCTACGATGTGAGACTCTAATCAAACAATACACTCATAGATATGACTGATGACTTACAACACAATATTCTTGTATTGTGTAAATACCAACATAAAAACCCAAATGCTACCAGTAGTCTCACGAAGTAAATCGTTGCAAGTTTGTGAGCTAATGCAATCATCTAACCACTGATTTGTTGTCATAAAATGTCTAACTCGATTTTAATAAAAACGCCATATAAGTACATTGGGGGATGAATGTACTCTGGAGTTCTGCAGTTCTGAAACAAATTACATTAACAATGCTCGGGATCATTTATCGTATTTTGAAAGCATTGGCTGCCATCTATAAAAACGTTAACTACATTTCAGCTCAGAATAACATTAGATTCTTTCCACCTTAAAGCAGATCCAGGTACATAAAGTAAAAATGGTTTTAAATCATAAGTTTTAGGCCAACAGAAATATTATACGGATAATAATAAAATACGGATTTTCTCTTCATATGTTCTCTTACAGGTTCACAATAGTATATCGGCCTAAACCAATGGTATGATTTAAATTATTTTAAAATCGGGTTACATACGAGTATAGTTCATATTTGATATATGTCCCATTCATTTCTAAATTCTAAAAATGCTAATTCTAATTCTAATTTTGCAATATAACAATAGGTTCAGAAAAATAGGATATTTTTTCTTTATTCGGCATATTCTTAATTGTAATTAAGTTAATTACGAGGGGGTATCTTATATCTATTCAATTGCAACAAAACTTGGTATATATATATCCCCTGGGGAATAGAGTATTGAATGAACATACTCATAAATTTATTTCAATAGATACCTAGCAACAGTTGCAATCTTTGGGACGATAGTCGTAACCCAAATGGCAACAAATTACGGACATATCGACTGATTAAAACACATTCCATGCAGCCCGCCCATTATACTTGTATCAACATGTCAAGGAGTTAACGCAGAGCTATTGCCCAACTTAGAGGTGGAACACTCCCATTGAAGATCGAAACTGGACGATATAACAATACCCCACTCCAGGATCGCCGATGTCACTGTGATAATCTAACTGTTGAGGACGAGTTTCATTTTCTTTTACAGTGCAATAGTTATGAAGACCTGAGAACTCCATTGTTTTTAGATTGTGTTAAGGAAATTCCTGACTTTCACCAGCTTAACCATATTCAACAATTTTGCAATATTATGTCAACACAGAGCCTACAAAGGACACTATCCAAAACACTTATAAAAATGATTTTAAAATGACGTACTCTACTGTGATAATTTAACCTTTTATATAGTCATACTGAATCTAGTCTCTCATAGGTCGACACCGGCCGGGCCAGACGATTTTAATATTATTGTTTTATAATTGTATGTATTTTAAATGGCGTGAGACATAAATAAAATATATTCAAACATGACCGTGCTCTAATTGAATTTCTCAACCAATCAGAATGCAGCATAGCAATGAACAATGTTTTCATTTTTTATATGTTTGAATCGGAATAAATAATGATAGGCCATTCAATATGGTGAAATTCAGCACTCGTTGGACAGAATGTCAGTACAAATGCACTCACCTTCGGTTCGTGCTTTGTACGACATTCTGTCCAACTCGTGCTGAATTTCACCATATTGAATGGCCTATCATTATTTATTCCTTAAATATAACATAACATAACATATCTAAAACTTGGTCCAGAGCCGATTTTGACCCACTGTGCAAATGGAAGGATTTCTCACCCAGCCATTACCACATGTGAATGAATGACATGTCATTGCAAAGAGGAGAGATGTGGCTTTATGGTACATTGAATGAAATTGATGTGGTCATCACCAGTTTTGTGATTTCACGAGATAACTAATTGTTGCGTTTTTTGATCAGGTACAATGTTTTAATATTTGCAGTATGGGTTTGTGAATCACGCACTGGAGCTCCTAGTCTTAAGGAACTTCGGACAAGACATCTGGGAGGAGATCAAGTGAGTTATGTTACGATTCTAGGCTCAGATTGTTGGTAATTTACTGTTGACCTATAAAATAAGCCTGAGCTCCATGCATTATTTGAAATGTTATATGTCTTTCGAAATAATGTGCTATAGAAGGAGTATGTATATCATATGAATGGTGATAAATACATAGATATTATTTAGCGAGAGGGATGGAATATGTCTTTTATACAGAATGATTTGACACAATTGACTCCCCGGCCATGAAATATGATATCACATGATGGTATACGAAAACAAAATACGTATATGTTTAATTTTAATGAAACTATGGATAATGATTTAACATTAATTAAAGCTAACATTTAATTTCTTTTATTTGAATTGAAAAAAACGTTTGTCTTATGTGGTCTAACATTGCAAGTACATTGAACGTAAAACCTCCAGAGGATAATAAACGGATGAGGGGGTATTTTCTCAATAACGATAATGTTCCCTGGTATTATCCTGGGGGTAATTGTATCATAAATGAATGTTCATCTCATTAATTTATTCACTGATTAAACCTATTTAATATTGCAGACGAGAGGCTGACCTTGACATGGAAGGACATTTTCTTGTCCGGTTGGTGTACGATGACGCAGTCTCGTACAATCTTGTTGGAGCAGCAGTGAAGGTTTTAAGTAAGACAATTGTGATCGACACGATTATTTCACTCATTTGATACCAATATCTGGATATACATATGAGATATGAAACATGATATTTTTTAACGAATATTTCTGAACATGATTATCAAAAGACTCCATGTATAGTATATATATACACGGCCAGGCCTGTATACACTTTTTGAAATATTCCAGTTTTTTTTACTTTTGACAACTTTGGCCCAAAATGGCCAAAATCATGTGAACGTGCTCAGAATGGTAAAAAACTGTATGATTTGAAAGAATTTCTGGCTACGGACCTGACACTGTATGTGTATATGGGTACATGTTTCTTCCTTTTCTAATTGCAGATGTGCCAGCTAACACAATCCTAGAAATGTTTGGAAACATGTTCTTCGACTTTTGCATGGAATCTGGCTATGATAAAATATTACAGGTTCTTGGGTCAACAACGCGTGAATTCCTCCAAAACCTCGATGCATTACATGATCATCTAGCAACTATATATCCGGGAATGGATGCGCCATCTTTTAGATGTACTGAAAGAGAGGCTGATGGAGCAACCATCTTACATTACTACTCAGAGCGACCTGGTCTAGAACATATCGTAATAGGAATTGTCAAAACTGTTGCAAGTAAAGTTCACAATTCAGAAGTTGATGTTGAAATTATAAAAACTAAAGACGATGGTATAGATCACATCCAGTTTGCAATTACAGAACAATGTGAGCAAAAGAGTGTGAAATCAGAGTTAGACGTATATGAGAATACTTTGTCTAAAGAACCCAAGATCAGTGCACAAACATTTTGCAAGTGCTTCCCGTTTCACATCATGTTTGACCGCAACATGAGAATAGAACAAGCAGGAACATCGATAACTCGGGTGATACCTCAAATATTTCAAGATGGCTGCACGGTTACGAGCCTCTTGACGATGGTAAGGCCCCATTTGGAGTTCACTTTCCAGAACATTCTGGCACATATTAACACCATCTACGTCATGTGTATCAAAGAGAACGTGAGAGCAAATATGGATATCAACGATGTCCAATATATAAACTTCGACCCTCAGGAACAAGATGGAATACGTCTAAAGGGACAAATGGTGTACGTTCCAGAACAAGACCTTATGCTTTTTCTCTGTTCTCCTAGTGTTCTGAATTTAGATGATCTCAACAGAAGAGGTCTCTATCTCAGTGATATCCCAATTCACGACGCAACGCGAGATCTCGTGCTACTCTCGGAGCAGTTTGAGGCAGAGTACAAACTAACTCAGAAGCTTGAGATACTCACCGATCAACTCAAACAAACCCACATAGAGCTGGAAAAAGAACGAATGAAAACAGAAAAGTATATCACTCAGTTATCATCGAATACGAATCCATGAATCTGATCGTAATTAAATAATACCTTAATTATCTTCTAACATGACATCGCGTCTGCAAAATTACCTTGTAACCTACCATGTTTTATTCCAGCTTGATGTATTCAATCCTCCCGACATCCGTTGCGAACGAGTTACGTCACCACAGACCAGTTGCGGCCAAGAAATCGGAAATGGTCACAATTATGTTCAGTGGAATTGTTGGTTTTGGGGAGTTTTGTGCACGCAATTCTGACTCAAAGGGTGCCATGAAAATTGTGAAGTTATTAAATGATGTGTATACCAAATTCGATGTTCTCATTGATCCGAAAACGAATCCAAATGTGTACAAGGTATGTGCGTTGTTTCAGTACTAGTGCTATTAACTCATATTCAATATTAACTAGAGGATAACATAATTACCAAACGGTCGATCTAGATTATTGGCATTATCTATGTTTATTGGAACTAACTACTTCTCATTCTTCCAAATTTTCTAGTCTTTCAATTTAAGTCGGATTTGTGCACCAAAAACTGTTCTAGCAGCATTGATAACTCTCATTATTATTATTAATTCAAACATTTTTAACCCCGCCTTACGATCATTGTGTGTGTTTGACGAGCTAATATAGAGTTTTTTTAGGCAAATCCATATGAAGAATTGAAATAAAATGATGACTATGCATATAATTAGGTTGAGACGGTAGGTGACAAGTACATGGCAGTGAGTGGTTTACCTGAGCCGTGCGACAGCCATGCAAGATGTATTGGTAGACTGGCATTGGACATCAAGAAAGCTTCTGAAACAATTACGGACCCTTATGGGGACAAAGTTATGGTAAGATTACAATGCGGTGCGAAACTTAACACTTATATAAATATTGCGTTGCTATTCTCTCAGAATTTGGATATGCAAACTACCAAATATAAATGTACTGTGTAACGACTGCTTCCATATTCGTTTATTACGAATTTTGATATTAATGCTAATGTAATATATATTTTTAAAAAGTCAGTGTTATGTAATCATAGGGAAGAGAATGCCACGGTATTGTCTGTTTGGAAATACTGTCAATCTCACCATACGTTTCTCTTATGAAAGGTTACCATAGGTATCCATTCGGATGAGGTAGTAACAGGGGTCATAGGGAAGAGAATACCAAGGTACTGTCTGTTTGGAAATACTGTCAATCTCACCATACGTTTCTCTTATGAAAGGTTACCATAGGTATCCATTCGGGTGAGGTAGTAACAGGGGTCATAGGGAAGAGAATACCAAGGTACTGTCTGTTTGGAAATACTGTCAATCTCACCATACGTTTCTCTTATGAAAGGTTACCATAGGTATCCATTCGGGTGAGGTAGTAACAGGGGTCATAGGGAAGAGAATGCCGCGGTATTGTCTGTTTGGAAATACTGTCAATCTCACCAGCAGAACGGAGACAACGGGGATCAAGGGCAAAATAAATGTGTCAGAAGATGCATACAGGTGAGATTTATTTATTCATGTTTATGCATTTAGTTCAATTTTAGTATTGTAGTATTTATATTACTATATATAGTATTAGGCTAAAATAATATGTGAAAATAATAACATATACATTTTTAGTTATCCTTCTTAGCAGTTCGATAACATATCCAATCTTTTGTTTCTTTCACCTTATGTTTTTCTATTTATACAGGGTGACACAAAAAATGCAACCTCCTAATTTTAGAGTAAGTCTATCGATCATAATGAAACATCCTTATTGACATTTTCTGTGAGGTGTGCTCAATGCGTCAACGAGTATATAGCACAAACAATTTGCAACTCAGAAGTTTAGTATTTCTGTGTTTGACATTATTGAGTTATATCTGGATTGCTTTGATTTCATACATCCCATCTACTCACTTTTATGGGGTAACTAAAGTGTCGTGTATTTAGAAGGCCTAGGGTTTCTAAACATTGCATTCTAAGTGATTTGGCATGAGATCTCGCATGGACGGAATATGAAATACGAAAGTCGTCGATGCTTTAAAAGGACATCATTATATAAGGTAGAAATATTCACGAAAATTTAATTTGATAATAGGGTGGTTAAATAGAAAGGCTTTTAATAGAATGTGAAGGATTTGTTCTCCCGTTGACATTAACAACTTGCCCCATTGAGTATAAAGGTATTATAAAGAAAATAGTTATAATTAGGTTATTGCAAAAAGCAATTAATTGAGAGAAGGACACTAATCCCGCATCATAATATTTATTACACGCTCACGTACAAGTTTTCTTAAAAATGTGTAGCTTTACCTCTCTAATGAAAACTAAAATTAGATGGTTGCATTTCTTTGTGTCACCCTGTATTTAACACTGTATTTAACATGTGAAGTAGAATATTAAGCAGTTATATACGAAAGCAGAATATATTGTCTTGACAATACATATCTTGATAAGGAAACAAAAATACAATTTCATAACCAGACTTGTAAATGTTTCAGGTTCCTAAAGACAGAGTCTAATATCGACACATCGTTTGTGTTCGAAAAACGGGGACTAGTAACAATGAAAGGCAAGAAAGAACCAATGCTCTGCTATTTCTTGTCTCGAAGATGAGCTAAGAAACGAAAACATTGTCGAAAATTCAGGCCCCTCTATACGTTTGGGAACATTCACCACGGTATCTTTGTATCCCTACCGGATTGGACTACGTTTATGCTTCTTTATGTTTAGAATGAGGTTTGCCTGACCTCTGTAGAGAAGTGTATATCATTGTAGATTATACAGAATAGTGGAATAGATAGAGGGCACTGGATATGCTGAAGTGATAATGATACTCAGAGGCAGATATAGTCGGGAGGGATATAGATTGATCAGAGCTAATGAGACGTAACATACTGTCATAGTTTCTCGTGTATAGATTCGTATAGATATTAAAATGTAAAAATTATGAAAGATTTATCAAGCCTGATGACCATTTTGTTGAATTAATAAAAATGCATGTTTTCCAAATGATGTCATTTTCATTTCGATATGAATTAGTCTCATCAATTCATTGTTTTTAATTACAATTATAGAAGAATTGTAACCCCCTCTTTACAAATGAAGCGATATGAGTGCTAAAATTGTCGGACATCACTTCTCCATCTAATCGGGATACTTCGTATCTTCTATTTCGGAACGGTCGTGGTGCTTTCTTTTGATTTTTAATGTCATGGTTATTTCTACCAACGTTATGACGCATTATATCCCGCCTCTTTAGATATCACTCGAAACACGAGAGAAATGAGTTTTTTCTTCTGATGGTACTGTTTTTTTTTGTATCGCAGGCTTCATGAAACCACCCGCTCAGTGTCTTGTAATACCCACTCAGTGTCTTGTTATTAAAGATCGGCTGTTGATTATTTTCTGAAAAATAAATTGATTAAAAATACACATTACACAATAACTCCAAACTGAAAATTGATCTGATATGCCAATGGAACCGTATGTGGTTATTATGGTTTTTATGGTATGCTTTGCACCTACGTATACCAAAATGACAAACTCGGAGGTATAGTTTAGATGGGTATGAAATTATTGGCTCACAGTGCTATGAAAACGTTTCATACTTGCAATTCTATCAATTGGTCTTAACAAATACAATCATAATTGAATTGTCTGGTTAGACAATGACACCAGACCTATGAGAATTAATAATAGACAGTGACCTACCAATATACCAAATAATTTAACAAATGTTATGTAAAGGTCTATGCAATTTAAACCTGGAAATGTTGTCATTTAAAAGTTTCATTAATTTGAACTTACATTGCTTGTTTGGGTTTCTTGTTCCTCGTTATAGCGCTTATATAGCGTTTATTCCTTCCACTTTGATCTTGGGTTCTTGCATCCAGTTCACAATGAGTATGCTTCAGTTGATCTTGAAGGCTGGTAATCTCTTTTTGCTTTCTCTCCAAATCTGTTTTCATACAATTGTTCTCATTTTCAAGATGCACCACGTCCAAGCTATCTTCAAGTTTACCCTGGGGATGGAAGGAAATACTACAGTAGTCACTAGTTACAATAACCATATACCTCTCTCTATTTTTCACACTCTTGTAAACAAAATACACCATGTGTTGAGAAAACTACAAGTTAGGCATACTTACAACAAGAAGTTTATCCAATATGCTGACATCCATGTTAGGGAATGATTCTTTGAGCTCAATTCTTAAACTCGTTTCCATTTCATCGTGTCTCGTATGTATGAGGTCAATTCCACAGGGAAGATCCTTTTTCAAGTATATAGCATAACGAAACATCATTCTCTCAATCCTTTCCCTCGGGTCATTCTGCATCCTATCTTTGATCAATTCGTTAATCAACTTGTAAACTTCAAATTCCTTCTGATATATTTCCTGATCCTCGTAGATACCAAATGACTTGTTCAAAATAAACAAAATTATTTAAACATCGTGAATGTGTTCACAATATATCTTAGATTATAATCAATACTCATCTCGCGTTTTAACATGATTTATATCAATTTGTATTACTTTCCTCAAATCACTAACCAAAATAACTTACTTTATCGAGCTTTCGGTAGCAGCTACTACCTTTGTCAAGATGAAATATTGGCGGGAAATGGGCTGACCCTTGACCTGGCTATGGTTTTACTCCTGTGTAGTTCCAACAGTCCCGGGGAAACCTTAAATCCTGAGTCCCTGTTAAGTTGTGGCTTGCTTGTATGAATGTGAAGTGCTTCCTTTACTTTCCGTTTGAAGTAATGGGGTTCTCTATCGAGAATTTTGTACTCCCAGTTGATCCTATGCGCTTTGGAAACTATATGTTCAGCGATGGCGGATTTGTTGGGATTATTCAGTCTAAAAGCGTCCTTGTGTTCCTTAAGTCTTGTATCAATCGCTCTACCGGTTTCACCTATGTAGAATTCACTACAGTCCTTACATTCAATTTATAATCCTGATCTCTCACCTGTGGGGGTGGGATCTTTGGGTGATACTAACATTTGACGTAAGGTTTGAACCATCCTCCGATCACAGGGCTTCAAAATCCAGAATATCTTCTTTCTTTTTACCCCCTGCTATAACCAAGTTGGACGCGCCCGATTAGACTGAATCACGTGATCTGATTATGCGCCGATGACGTAAACATGATTGCTGTCGCAGTGTTGCGACAGCCAATCAAATTGCGAGTTCTCAATCGGGGAAATGCTAACTGCTTATAGCAGGGCGAAGAAGGAGGTACGGATTCTGGACACCTGCTTAGGAGGATGGGTTTGAACAGACTTGAAACTAGTCTTAACTCCTGCTTCTTGAAAGATGCGTTGAAGTTTGGGAGCAATAGTACTAATATAAGGTAACACTACACTAATTTCCCTATCTACACGGTCACTATATAGGAGGTCTATCTCTAGGCGTAGCTGGTGCTTGGTTTAGAAGCCAAGATGGGTAGCCACAAAACCAAGCACCAGCACGGGACTGTTGGAACTACACAGGAGTAAAACCATAACCAGGTCAAGGGTCAGCCCATTTCCCGCCAATATTTCATCTTGACAAAGGTAGTAGCTGCTACCGAAAGCTCGATAAAGTAAGTTATTTTGGTTAGTGATTTGAGGAAAGTAATACAAATTAATTATCTTTACCTAACCGATGAATACATTTGGACATGATTTATATCATTTTTTCAAATATTTTACCTCGAAATATTTCTTCTTTTCCTTTTCCCATTCGTCATCACTAAGAAAAGATAGCTCCTCTCTGATCGTCGAAAATACTTTATCCAAACAAGCAGAATGATGCAAATAAAGGCTCTCCGGTGAATATGGCATGTCATTAATGGTATTTTGCATTTCTTGTAGATATATAGAACGCCCGTGCTCGATCGCCCTTGCAATTTTAAACTATAACACATATGTTTGCAATAATCAAGATCCAATAAAACTACACCAACTTTTGTGTTAAACGTGTCTAATTTATAGTTCCATAGATATGTAACTCGTGGTCTCAGAGACTATCTCTTGATGTAAAAAGTTTTGCAAAATTAAACAAGAAGTCGTAGTTACATCAATGCATATAGCCAGTTAATAAAAGTACAGTTACACTCCCCTCCATAAGTTTGGCAACCTTAGCTCCCCCATTGAACTACGTGTTAAAGCCTCTTTACCTTGGAATTTTTATTTACTTAACTTGCGATGACAATACTTATGATATTGATGGAAACGTAACTTGACTTTATTTCCAATACCTCCAAATTTTCTCAATTTTTTTCCTCAATTACACTAACTAGGTCGAAAATTGATGATAAGTTTAATGAATTTTTGAAAATCGACATTCCCATGTTAACCAATGCGCATGGGAATTGGTAGGTTTGCCGCAAGTCATATGACAGAATATCCATCCATCCGAGTCTTTGCAAAAAATACAAGTTAGGTAGGCAATAGAATTTGCTAACTTTATTTAACAAAAATTAATACGTTTCTTCAAGTTCAACAAAGTTATAGGTTTTTAAAGTCAAAATTGTTTTTCAAAAAACCTCTCCCATCGGAAAAACACAGGAGGCGAAAAATGATTTTCAAAAATGACTTTGAAGTTCTGTAACTTTAGTATTCATGAAGTAAACTAAACACTTATTGTACAAAAAAGTAAGAAAATTCAATTTTCTATATAAAAATACTTTTTGCTGAATTTTTTACAGAATAGATATCCTGATTTCTGATTTGGCCCGAATCCACCATTTCCCATTGCTTTACATGGGAATGACGATTTACATTATTCAGACGGGATATCGCGTCCATGTTTTATATATTCATTGTACTTACTCGAAACTGTTCCTCATAAGAACCATCATTGTCAAATTTACGCCTTTCATCAAAATCCTTTTTTGATTCGACCATTGGATTCTGGTATAGGATCTCAAATGATTCTACCGACACACATGTGTCATTGTCTACGCGATGAGACATTAGTGATCTGTCAAGATCCATGGCCTTATCAATTGCATTTGTATTTTCCATCTCTACCAGTACATTAATTGGTCTTTCTAAACATGGTACAGATCCACAGCTGTGAATTGTAGCGGTATACGTTTCAACTAAACCAAAGAGTTCTGAAAATATTTAAATATATTTAGGTACTTGCATTTGTTAATACTAAGATCTGCTGGGTCGATGGTGGATAGTGTATATATTTGAGCAGCAAATCAGATATAAGTTAAAATCGCATGAATCTGGGGACAATTAGGCTAACATTATGGCGTCAAAATACCGAAACAAAACAATGGGCAGTGTTTAATGGCGCATATAGACTTATATATAACGTCAAAAACAACAAGCGTTAGCCTACATTTTTTCAAGTTTAGTCAGCCTAAAAATGAAATGCTTTATCCTTATTCAATCGTGATGAAATTCTCAGAGTAACAAGTAACAAAATGATTTTGATTTTTGAAAAACGGTCAGGAAATTTACTTGAAGCGTTAGTAAAAAATGTCTCGTAAATCAACTCTTATTTTAATATTATTTGTGAAATCTATGAATTGATGTTTGTTTTGTAAATTTAGCAAGGACAATATTGTGCAATTAATTTTTTATTCAAATCAAACCTCAATAAGAAGGTCAAATATAGGTAAACTTCTCGCTCATCCCATTCGCCTTCAAAACCTTAGGTCGACACAATTTTGAAAACTTTAAAAGCGTCCCTTTAAGAAAAGTCGGATTGTGATCGTTACGGAATTATGCTGCCATAAATGCAAATGGTCAATATGTGAAATTTTAGTGGCGTTCTGGTCATTTTTTCAAAAGATATCCCAATTTAAACTAACTGTGCGAGGGTAAAGTGTTACGTCTTTTGCGGTGTCGGGATATGTTTAACCTTAAAAATATGGTAAATCGCATCAAACTTTTCTAGGAAAAAATTATCACTGAAATGCTCATTAAGAATACATTAAAATGGGTAGCATATGGCTAGTTTTTTTAAAAGGGCGGGGGCGAACACTTAAAGGAGACAGTAGCCCGTATTTCTCGAATTGTCCCCAGGTACGTGCACGTCATATATGTGATTTTATAGACAACGGCATTGCAAACAGCGTCTTGAACGACATCTACAGTTCGGTGATATTAGGCATTAACTAGGCCAATTGATTTCAATGTTTCCATCTTTTGTTGAGAAATATTGAGTTTGACATTTTGTCTTCATAATTCACACATCTCTTCAACTTGCTTTACAAATTCCTGGGTGAGTTCGGACTCTGGGATATCATTTATGTCAAAGTCACATTTACGTCGGCCGAGAAGTAGGAATCGCCAGCAAATGTGACCTAGACATAACACGAACCAAACCTTCATTACCATCAACTAGCCTTTGGAAAACAAGACAGCCTAGCATTTGGAAAACATTTGGTTCGTTATAATCGTTGATCCCGTCCCTCTCTCTTCTGCCTTCAAGATTTTTTGGCATTGGCCTTAATTCCAGCATTTGTTCGCCGTCAACTTCAAAACCCAACACAAAGGCGTTGGGCATCCCTACGAAGGTTTGGAATATCTGCTGGTAGTCTTCGTAGCCAGTTGCACTCTCATCAGAACTTTGATCCTGCCCAGACCTCACGTCTATGTGGTCAGTTATGTGGAGAGTAATAAAAATGGTCAAGGGAAGAAAATTTTTGAGTGGAATATTAAAACCTTTTTAAATGTGTTTCGTGCCCAGATAATTGAGAAAATCTCACATTCTAAGTTAATATTCAGATATAATGTTTTGTGTTAAAATCCAATGACTTCCTGATCATCTAAAATTACAAGTACATACATTGCTATTGTGAAAGGATACTTCATCTCCTTGACAGCTTTCTTGTTTATAGGACCCACTGTGTTGGGGATGGCCAGGACGAATTTCTGATTGCCATGGGTAGTATCAATCTAAATAATAAAAATGGTCAAAATGTGGTGCTGCAGAAAACCTTGATAGACAGTTTTAACATATGCCCAAACATCAACAACGTACAGTGACAAAATATACCGTCGTACACTTTAGATAATACGGTTACAAAATTAATCTTAGGAAAACTTGAAAGATTTCATGATGAAACCGTGTGTATTCGCTTTTTAGACTTTTAGCTCTTTGATTACATTAAAATTAATAGATTTTCAAGCAATGCTCGAATTTTTCGTAGTAAATCTTAAAATTGATCGGTTGGAAAATATTAGGTTCTTCACATTTCCATGATCATGTTTTCCCCTGTCGCCTAAGACTGCCGATTATTTTTGTGAAAATTATGTTTCTCTAAACTACACAATTTAGGACGAGTGAAGATTTGATAAATATTATGTATTGTTAGAATTTCAAAAAATCACTAAGTGTACGTTGTATCAGTATAATTGAAAGTCCACGAGATGTTATATTAAAGAATCCATTCAGGTTTTTAATGTGTAAAAAGTTATAGTCTTTTAACGTGATCAGAAAGCTAACAGTCTTCCAAAGCGAATACAAAGGAAATTAAATATGAAATCCTATATCGGTATTTCTCAGATTATTTTTTAAAACCTACATCACATCTACATCATGGTTTTTGCTTCATATCAGGTAGAATAGTGACACCGTATATCTAAAGTGTACGATGGTATATTTGTCACTGTACGTAAGAAATACACAAGTAAGATATTGTTTTTCAATCCCAAGGGTTTGTGAGATTTAAAATAACATGTTTACTTACAATCGCGGCATGACGAAGACCCTCTATATCTAGCAACAACATCGGGAACACCATGCACTCACCAGGATTTGAGGGAATGGTTTTACACCGTATCTGCATGGCCTTTGTCAGAGAGTGTACACTAGACCCAGTCTCAATTTCTAAAGCACAAGCTAACATATTCTAAATATGCCAACGTTTAACTCGTTTCAATCGAATTAGAATTTAAGTGACAGCAAATGATAAAGCATGTAAAACATCAGTAGTTATTTATTCAACAGACTTGGTAATCCCATCCTAAAATACCCCAAAATAATACCCCAGAAAGATTTTAGATACTAGTAGTTGATCAAACATACGTTATATACTAGTATATAATAGTAGGTACCAGTTGTTCAAATTCAATAGAATCGAAAATGGCGACGTCCACCATAGAATTATTTTCAATTAACAGGAAACGTCGTCATGAAAAAGTTAGAACCATTCAACTTCTTAGAATAAGACATTACATTCTATCAGAAAGTAAAATGGATGTCGGTACGAAAACTAAAACTAAATAAAAAAAGAGTTTTAAACGGTCTGTCAGTTAACTAGTTTTACCTAAGTCGATGTCTTTTTATTTTTTTAAATTTGATTTTCACCTGGATTGAAAAGCAATAAAAACATAATACAGACTTGAGCAAGGCTAAGTATCAGTTGAGCGAATTCCAAGAACATTTCTTCATCACTTACATAGTTCTTCTGTTTGCAATTAAAAGGTGTGTGGTTGTGGAAAAAAATAAACAATCTTCATTTCTCTAAAACTAAGAAATTTTAGACCTTCATGCTAATCGAACTGTCTGTCAGATGATCAAATTTCAAGAATATTCAAGAGTTATTCTGTGTTAATTACGGAACATTTTTAAGAAACACCCTCTACGTATATACGACACCGTGGCATGGGATTCGTATGTTTTGTGTATTGAATTATTGTGGGGGTTTGGTGTCTTCATATATCAATCAAATTAAAACGATCCATACACTCAATCAAAGATCCTCTGAAAGGTCGGTTTGTTGATTTACTACACTAAGTTTGTTTGGGTCATCAATGTTTATTATATAATACCTTCTTCTGAACAAAATTGAGTAAAGCCATCAGGTAATTCATGCATGTGTCGAAAATCCTTAAATGGCTCTTCGTCAAATACATCATCTGTAAAATAAATGACAAGCTTGACCGTGATCATGTGAGTCAAAATGATATTAATATGTAAGCTAATCATAGTAACTATAATTTGACGGAAATGTAAGATACTCTAACTCATGGGCTTTCAATCAATACAAATTGTAAATGTATCAAAATTATATATAGCATATGAAATATATGATTCGGTCCATGTTTCTGAAACTTGAACACGAGTGTTCTCTAAATTCATTTGATTCTGAAGTATAATACCTCCTTCGGGCAATGGTTGATGTTTTGAGACACTCATTAAATGGCGGGTAGCTGAATCGATATCCTCCCAATCATTTTCATCACTCGAATTCCCATGCGGACTGAATCCACTTTGAACAGATGTACATGTCGTTGATAGATTATCATTCTTGTGGCAGGACATATTCAAGGGATTTCAATCAAGGACGAATGTATAAATTTGTTTCGGTCTGTCCTGTATGGTCAACGTATCGTATTCAACAAAAGGAACTAAATTCGTGGCCAGTTGGCGGATAATGGGACAGTAGGGATAGTCTGATTATTTTCACAAAACTAATCTGAAACAGGATTAAAAGATTTAAAAGAGTCAATAGATATTTAGCGGCAATATCACATGGAAATAAATGTAAAAAAGGAAAACCTTACTTGATAATTGATTAATCTGTTTACTTACATTTTACATCCTTATTCACGTTCCAAATGCTACAACTGTTCATTCAAAGAGGCTATGATGCATTAAATAAAACACTGAATATATAAACGTTGGTATAACTCCTCTGTGAAACTTTAAAATAGTTTGGTCGCCCACTATTTGGAATTCGAAGAAGTCACAAGATGTGATTGTGAAGCAATCAGTTGGAACAGTATTCCAAAGACGTCATTCATAGACTGTGTACCCCGAACCTGCACATATAATATGAGGAAATAGGTTCATCTATGAATTATGGGGCAGCCACCTCTTCCAAAGAATGCTACTTTAAAAGAAAAGTGAAAGTTTACTGATGAATCACCTGTCTTGGATACCTGCATAAAATTTAAAATATACACTCCCCTCCATAAGTTTGGCAACCTTAGCTCCCCCATTGAACTACGTGTTAAAGCCCCTTAACCTTTGCATTTTGATTTACTTAACCTGCGATGAAAATATACTTATACTATTGATGGAAACGTAATTTGACGTAATTTTCGGATACCTCCAATTTTTCCAAATTTTTTCCTCAATTACAACAGGTCGAAAATTGATGATTTTGATGAAGTTTTGAAAATCGAGATTCCCATCAAGTAAACTAAACACTAAGTGTACAAAAAAAGATAGACAATTCAATTTTCTATAAAAAAATGTTTTGCTAAATCTTTTACTGAATAGATATATGATTTCTGTTTTGTCCCGAACCCACCATTTCTCATTGGTTTACATGGGATTATCGATTTTCCAAAGTTCATCTTTATCATCAATTTTCGACTTTTTGTAATTGAGGAAAAAATTGGGGAAATGTGGAGGTAATGGAAATAAAGTCAAGTTACGTTTCCATCAATATTATAAGTTATTTCATCGCCTGTTAAGTAAATAAAAATTCAAACGCAGAGGCTTTAAAACGTAGTTCAATGGGGGAGCTAAGGTTGCCAAACTTTTATGGAGAGTGTACATCATTTTTCGAAGCATAAAACGCTCAAAGTACGTGGGAAGATTTAGCCTCTAAGTGCGCTCCTTAGTGATTTTCAAATTACCTCTTCTGCACTAAGGTTCCAATATACCATTGGAAAGATAAAGGTGTCAGCTTTTAGAATCTAACCTCCATTCGAATTTATATTGAATGGAAAATTAGGTACCAATGGTACATGGGCAATAAATTACATCGGGCCCATAGAGAGCTCGTTTAGTCAACGGGCCCTGTACAATCTCGTACACTACGGGTCTCGTTACGAGTCTCGTAATTGCTTATATTTTCGAGCCTCGTTAGAGCTTGTAATCACAAGGCCCGTAATAGTAGCTCGTAATTTTCGACCCCCGTACTTGACCGTGCGGTGCCCGTAACGATAGAGCACCGTAATAAATCGTAATTTTCGATCCCCGTACTTGCTCGTAAGATCCCCGTACTTGCTGTTACGAGGCCCCTAAAAGCTCGTAATTTTCGAGCCCTTGTACTTGCCTGCATTGCGATGTCCGTGTCCCGTAATGGCTCATAATTTCCAGGCTTTGTATAAGGAAACCTCCTACCCACCTACCCACCTACATGGGACATGATACGGTCATTGAAGGGTTCAATTTTAAAGATTTTTAAATCTCAAAATAGCTGTAATTATTAACATTTCTACAATTCCGGCTTTATTTCATGACTAGACGGATGAGGGTGCCCCGGGGAATAACTAACTAACGATCGCGAACATAGGTCCAACAAGAAATTGAAAGAAAGTGTTTCTGTTTTCCTTATTTCACGCGTTGTAGGCAAAATCCCAACGACGTTTTTTCTCACAAACGTGTATCAGCATCATATGTTTGAGAAAATGTACATGTTTGCGGAAAAATAGCTCAGAAGACAACAGAATCGTCGATTTAATTCCTCATTTAAGTTACATAAACAGTTTGGGTTAAAAGTGCAGATCTTAACTGGTTTTGGAAAAACCGTTTATGTAACTTAAGTGAGGAATTAAATCTTTCTTAAACATATGATACTGATACATGTTTGTGTCAAAAATGTCGTGGGAATTCTGCCTACAACGTGTGAAATAAGGAAAAAAGAAAAATCGTACCTTCGATGTTCCGACATTTTGTTACCAAAACGAACCGTTTCGGTAACCAGCGTAATCGAGTGGACCACCAGTGCATTTGCTAAACCCCAGTCAAAATTCATTACTTGTTCTCGAGAAATCGCTTGCAAAATAAAAATGCGAGAACGGATAAATATCTATTTTTATTCAACTTCAATACTGATATACAGTCACTGATAAATATCAGGCTTAAGCTATACTACAGTGTATAATATGTGTACGGGGTGTTTCATAATAACCGTCTCTCCATCAAATGCCAATAATAAACAGCATACCCCCATGTTATATAACAAGAGTACAAGTGTATAAGAGTCATGAAATTGTTCAATTCTTGACTTATTGAAGTTAAACTCAACAGGTTTTACAGCTTTAACTACTCTACAAAGGGTACTCATTTTAGCATAGAATCTGAAAACCACTACCGTTGTTCCAAAATTAGCCTTTCGCATGCAAACAGCTATGATAGCATATAAAAAAAGATACACCCATAATCTAAAACTGCACTTTGAGCTGTCCGCGGCGCAAGTCAGTTACATAATACTTAATGAGTTTTCTCCTTAGGTATCAGGAAAAAGAACAATAATCCCAGCAGTGCAAACTAACGGTTTTCAACGTGCATAGTTGGGCCCGCGTGAAATTACATAATCACATATTTTCAACAAAAACAGCTCATCCAAGCGCACCTAAACTCACATAATTCTTTTGAAAGTCATCACGGTTTATTGCAGTGGAACAGTCAACTCCTGTGGTGCACTAGCAGCGAACCGACGCGGTTGACACACGCGGTCAGCCAACAAGGTGCTACATCGTAATTACCGGTTTAAGTGTGCTTGGATGGGCTGTTTTTGTTGAAAACGTGTGGGCTTATTGTTCTTTTTCAGGATACCTAGGGAAAGAACCTATTAAATATCATGCAATATACTTGCACCGCGGGCAGTACAAAAACACAACCTAAATATGCATTTTTAGGAGAGATTTGCTTGTTTTCTTATAAACAAATGCTATCTGTTTAATTGAATTTTATTGTATTAATTGCAATTTTATATCCTTTATAAGGTATCCTTATAGTACATATAGTTTTCCTTATAGTATATAAGTATATATCATCTTGAAATATTGATTAGATTAACACTGCAATTTTTATACATCATCCAGACACTTCAGTTTCCCAAATAAATGAAAGAATTCCAACAAATTACAAGGCATACGACGTTAAGGAGGCGTACGACGTTTACCATGACATTGTCTTTTGTATTGTCTTGATCTTACCTCCATTTACACGTATTAAATACGATTTCGTTGATTTAACATAAACGTATTTATGAGTTCATGGTTATATACATTCATTTTCATTTATATTTTTCAGTATTAGGGTTTCCAGGGCATGAGGGCTAAAATTGTCCCGGTGTAAAAGGGTAGGAGGTCCTATCAACTTATGGTCCTACTCTCCATTGATTTATATGGTGTCCTAAATACAACTCTTTCCCTCATTATCTTATACCCAATCAGGGCCAGTAAGGGGCGTTAAAAAGGGGACCGTAATCCCTTGAGGATCATCACTTCTTTCACACCGGCATTGTCTCTCTGAGCGAAAAGAAAAAATTTGAGAGGCTTTACTTCTCCCTAAAGAGAAATTTGGTGAAAGCTCAGTGATGCAATGCCCGTGATGCACTGAAATTCTGAACACCAGAAAAAACTCTTACTAAAAATGTTCTTCTTTTCCATGCTGTAATTATAAGAACAAATAGCAAGTATAAAGATCACTCACAATAATAATAAATTACTATAAACTGGCTGGAGATCACATAAGTGCATTGATTATGAAGAAGATATTTCAACAATAGAACACAAATGGCTACATTTTGGAAACACATATAATCAAATCATTCAATTTTGAGTAGTGTTTGATTCAAGGAAACAAACTTTATTATTTTTGGTCATGACTCCCTTCATGAATTGTTTTCTCTCGTCACAATCACATTCATGCCAATTTTCGCGCCCTATATATTTGAAGAGCACATTCTGCAAGTGATTGAAAATTCAAAATAATCGTATAACATAACCTAATCTTGAATTAAATTTGGAAGGTTCTATATCCACGCCTAACCATCGCGTAAGCAGGCGTCACCATACAGCGTCAAAAAATACAGTAGTACAGGTTTCTGTACGGTGACGAAAATTAACTGAATTGAAGCAAAAAACTATAATGAGGGTTTTAAAAAAATTAACTAGATGAAAATAAATACGATTTCGGGTGTAATAAAAACAGCATTCTCTAAGAAATGGTTTTAACTTTCTAATTATGATAAAATATTTTCGAGCACTGCTCGGATTTTTTCTGACTGGATCGGCCCACATAATTGACTCGAGAGAAAAAAATTTTTTTTCACTTTTCGTTTGGTTATTATTTTCCCTGCCGTCTGAGAGTATGGATCATTTTTATGAGAATACGTATTTGTTATCTACACATTTTAGAACAGATGAAGATTTGGCAAATAATCATTCACTGTATATATTTAAAAAAGATCAAATCTGTATGGTGACGCATCTGCTGTACGGTGACGATTCCTTAGAATTTATGAAGCGTAATATATGAGCTCAATATTAGCTTAAGATTCCATAAGTTTTTGTGTCGAATTCAAATGTTGTATCCCATTCAAAATTGAAAAAGATCAATTCTTATGTTTCCATTCATTTCTGATAGCAAGGATTCAATACTGAAACACATTCAACCCTAAGCTTACTGTTTGAGCAAGAGGTAAAGACGTGTCAGATCTACATGTACATTATCAATGGTAAGTATCAAGCGAAGGTTTCATGGAATAAACTATTTGAGAGTTGACGATATAATGCTTCGATACCATTTGAACTAATCCAGGCTTTTCTCATATGACTAACAAAAAGACAGCCTACAGCCATCTTTACCCCATGCAAGATATTGCATCTTTCATCCTAAAAAGTCACACGTGCAAGGTGAGATTTACTTGTGAGATCACTTGTTTAAAAACACCAATAACATAGCAACAAATATAGTTTTTGGTTTCATGATTCTTACCGTATCATACATTTCCAGTAACCTTCCATTAAGCGGTGGAAGATATCGTTGAACTGTGGCGCCCATGCACTATAAATGAACAAATGATCATACGCTGGAGTTTCCATTTCGTATAAGCTTAGTCTCATTTAGTTCATGAAAGCATAACGCAAACTATAAAGAAGTTTGATTCGAAAAAAACTAAAAATATCGAAATCGACACTTCCTTTCCGCCATCTCAAATGCAAAAAGTGACACCAAAACTTATGCGATTTGAAGTAAATAATAAGTTCTTTATATTACTTCTCACAACTTATAATGAATCGTCACCGTACAGCTTATGCGTCACCGTACAAATCTGATCTTTTTTAAATATACACAATGAATGGTTATTTGCTGAATCTTCACCCGTTCTAAAATGTGTATTTAACAAATACATATTCTCATAAAAATAATCCATACCCTCAGACGGCAGGGAAAATAATAACTAAAAGAAATGTGAAGAAACAACCTTTTTTCACCAAGGGTCGATTATGTGGGCCGATTCACTCAGAAAAAATCCGAACAGTGCTCGTAAAACATTTATCATAATTAGAAAGTTAAAACCATTTCTAAGAGAATGCTGTTTTTATTTCACGTGAAATCGTATTTGTTTTCATCAAATTAATTTTTTTAGAACCAATGTCATAGTTTTTGCTTCAAAGCAGTCAATTTGCGTCAACGTACAAAAAACTGTACTCCGCTATTTTTTGACGCCGATGGTTAGGCGTGATATCTGATAATTTCTGATAAGTCTGTGCTCTGTTATGGCCTTGACCTATTTACTTATTTTGCTGACTTAATTATTCAGGGTGGTTATAACGTAACATTTATTTAGGGATTTACTCGTAAATGGACCTTTGAAAAGAACGGGCCAAATCAGAGAAATATAAATCACTAGTATTCCCCTAAATGTTCCGAATGAAGAATATTGGTCATTTGGGATATTTGATTAACTTTTAAAACTACTTTTCAAAATATTTTTAATTAGGTTGGCGTGGACGTTGAAACAATATGTTGACATTGTATGACATTGTATGAATGTTAACAATCAATATGGACGACCCAATGCTAGTTAGGAAGTTTATGGTACCCCTGGATTTAGTTACGTGTTTCCTCAAACAGTTGTCTTGTGAAAGACTTTGAAAGTGGCGACTTCGACTCAATAGACTTATTCGATGCATATGGTGACTGAGAATACTTTCTTTTCCGACGTGGTTAGGCTTTGGGGGTGGGTAACCCGATTGACTTTGGGGAGAAGTAACAATGTCATGGTAAACGCATCCTTTGCCCAAGAGTAATTTATTGCATTACATGAGCTGCTATGAAAGCAGTGAAGGACCGATCTTGAAGGATTGGTGAACGTCGTAACTTCCTTAACGTCGTATACTTTCAAAGAAAAATTAATTTCTCTGAATTCTCTCATTAATTTTGGAAACTGAAGTGTCTGGATGATGTCCATTTTCACGAAATTGTCGTTTTTTCTAGAATGTTTGAGAAGTTTTAGACCGTGTTCAGACGAAATGTTGAGACGTAAGCTTAGTGATACTAGACAATGTTTCCACGAAAGTGAAAGGACCATATTCTGTCAAAACATCGAAATAAATGAGTACTTACAAATCACCCGCCGAAAATACCGGGTAAAACGTCGTAAACTTCCTGTGTTACGGCGTGTAAGAGAATGGGGTGTGACCCTTGTGGGTGTATTCCCTATGCCAAACATGTTTATTTGTAGGTTATTTGTGTTTTCGAATACTTATGTAATAAATTGTAATATTGTAAACGTTCTGTTGTGTAAATATAAATTACATTAAATATCGACGGTGGAGCCTTCAACATTCTTCTTAATTGCTTGACCATTCGAGTTTGTTAATGAACCGATCCAATATCGAATAAATGATGTTGGTTTTGAAGTTACTAATTCATCTTTGAAAATCATCGCATCGCGACTACCTGTCTGATGTACATCATTCGTACATTCGTCGATTTCATCATGCGGTGACGTTTCCGCATCTTTACATTTGGAGTTTTCATTGTTAATGTCATAATTACTCATTTCTTTCTGATTTTCAATGTCATGGCCATTACCATCAAAGTTACAATGTTCACGCTCATTATTCCGGCTCTTTTCAGCATCACTCGATTGAAAAGTGAAATCACTTGAATCACTGGGGATGTTAGTTCCATTGTCTTCTGACGTAAGTGTTTCATCTTCGCCAGCTTCGTCGAATTGTTCATTTAGTGTTTTATTATATCGAACCGGTTGCTGAGAATTCGGATTACCAGGTCTTTGTTCTTTCAAAGGTGTTTTAGCTCTACCTCTACCAACTCTTCCTTGTTGCTTCCATTTTGGTTCTTCGTTATTAGTTTCAAATTTAGACACCATCTCTCTCTATAAAATAATGTGTATTATCACAAAAACAGTTTCAATTTCTATGCAGTAAAACACATTACCTAATAATTCCGAAATTAACAAAATTAGATGACTTGTTTAATCATCATGATAGTTAAGTGCTTAACACAAATATTACACAAATACTACTATAATGATAATTAATATTGGCCTGTGTTATTTCTAGAAACATTAAATTTAATTAATACGTATTGTTTAAGATATTAGTACATGTATAGCAATAATTGCGCATAAAGCGTAGCCTAAGATGAAACTAGCCAGGTCAAGGAAGAAACATGGTCTGATAATAGGATGAGAATTCTAAATGATAACAATGTATTATATCATTTAAAATGATGGTCCATATAGCCATAATTCTACCGGTTCTTGTGCCAAAGCATGATAAAACACACCACCCGATGAAGAAAGACCACGCTTGAGTGAACAATTTTATGGTTGACATTTGTGTATATTTGAAGTAAGGTATACAAAATCGTATGCTTAGGTTTTATTATTGAATAAGTAATAAGTACTGGCACATTATAGAGGCGAATGGGGCTGTCTAGTTTTTTGGATGTTCGTAAAATATCTATTCTAACTGAATATGTATGTGTAGAAACGCATGCTTCTTGAACGTGTAGCTCAAAACAAATATTTCTACCTGTATCATAGCATCCTGTACACCAACGAAAACTACAATGAAGTGACTTAGATTCAGTATTTGTAACGCAATTGCATCGCATCAGGGTTTCATTGCTCATCAGATCTGTCTTTGACTTTTTCACACAGTTCAATCTCAAATCATATTTTTGGAGTTTTACAAAGCAAATTGACATTTAAATGTTCTAGAACCTTCGAATGGTGTATTGACTTTCAAGTGAAAACGTTTATCTAACATATGCCCATATGGTCTCAAGATCTATTTGTCAATCATTTAAAAATTGTGAAAGTGTTATTACTAACTTTTTTTTAGCAAAACTAGGTTCATTTAAAAATCTTTGCATATATTTTTGCATCGATAAGACTACAATTTTAATTAATGTTGTGCAACGATACTAGCATCTGAATGGATACCTATTTAATACAAGTCTCATAGAGTGGCTCTAATATGGTTTAAATCAATTCATTATTAACAAAAATGGTATTTCCGAATTGAAAGTGCTCAAAGATCTAAAATTTTAGGATCCGTTGAAAGATCAAAGGCAATGCATATTCAACTATCATATTTTCTATAGAGTACATTTCACAATCAACTGGAAATATCAAATTTTACTATTTGTTTTACCCGTCTATCTTAGATTCAAGCATGACAAAATGACCAAAGAGTAAGAATTTTCCCTACAAATTCTTGACTGCATAAGAGTTTATGCCACATTGTCCTATCCAGTAGTAAGTCAAATTGGAGTCGACTTAAGTTCTTAATGAAGCAAGAAGCTTACCACATTGTGTGCACCACTTCCCCGTGATTCATTCGGACTATTCTTGTCAGACGCTTCATTAGGGGCATTTATCCAATTTTTCGCAGACTTTGGTTTCTTTGACTTTTTATTAGTGCGTAGATCGCTCTCGTTGTGGAATTTAACACCTTGTGGGTACCTACAAACCAAGCATTCTGTTGTATCGTCCATCGAGCTAACAGGCCAGGAAACATTTCCAGTGTTTTCATGTGAGAGAATTAATATACTGTTCTACCATTTAGACATCCATAAAAAAGGTCAAAATATTAAAACCTAACAGTGAATTTAACAAAATAAAATGCACGAGGTAACTATTTTAAAGAACCAAAATATATAATAAAAACATTGGAATGGTTGGTCAAATGATTTGTCCAACTTACGCAGCAGCAACATTTGTTGGATCTTCTAACTCGGTTTTACATTGCTTCAGCCGTTCAAGGTTCGACTTTGCAGCTTTAAATGTTTCTTCAGTTTGTTGCACCATATTTTGTCGAAGTTGTGTGTTTGTATCGACTGTTTTGATATAACCCTGGAGGTCACTGTGGATGGTTTTCTCTTCTTCAACCTGATTTCTAAGGCTGGAATTACATATGTGTCCGTAAATTCACAAATCGAATAAGAATTTAATGTTCAAAGAAAAACAGAATTTCACCATAATTATATGCCATTCCACATAGTGAAATTCAGCATGGGGCAGAATGTTGTACAAGCACGAACTGAAGGTGAGATCATTTGAACTGACATTCTGTCCAACGAGTTGGGGATTTCACAGTATCGTATGGCCATCTTAATTTGGTTCGATTCAAACATAAAGAAAAGACCGTTCATCTATTGAGAATAAGAGAACGGCTATGTAGCAATCTGATTGGATGAGAGACTCTAAATGAGCAGGATCATTTATACTGCGCGCGTTATAAAGCATTTAATATTTTAGACACTTGGGAATGTTGTTATTAAATCAAATGACTTACAATCTTTGTTGGTTTTCTTGTTCCTCGTTGTGTCTTCTTACTCTTTCCAATTCAAAATCTTTTGTAAAGGAATCAATTTCAATTAGAGTCAGATCAGTTCTTGTTGTATCCAGTTCACAATGTGTAGTGTTCAGCTCATCTTGAAGTCTTTTAATCTGTTTCTGCTTGCTCTCCAAATCAGTTTTCATATAATTGTACTCACTTGCAATCCGTTCATATTCGCTCTGCTTTAACCGTTTTTCATTTTCAAGATGTACTGCTTCCAAACTACCTTCCAATTTGGACTAGAAATGATAGAAAATACTAGTACAGATTACAATCATCACGAAACGTCACTCAGTTCATCTTACACTTCTGAACAAATATGCCATCGGTAATGTGTGGACAAAAGCCATACTTACAACAAGAAGTTGATTCCACGTGTTGATATGAATGCTAGGGAACGCTTTTTCTATCTCATGTTTAAACTCCGTTTCCATTTCCACGTGTCTCGTATGTATGAGGTCAACTCCACAAGGAAGATCCATTTTCATGTATATATCATAACGCTTCATCATTCCTTCAATTTTTTCCCTCACGTCAATGTGAAACCTGTTTTCGATGGATTCGTTTTTCAATTTGAAAAATTCTAATTCCTTATGATATATTTTCTGAAATGTATATTAGGAAATACAACTAGAGGTAAGAATATAAATGATTTAAATATGGTGAATACAGGAACAAAGGAGTGAGTTACATAAAGTTGCTAGGACTGATTCTCTTCGCATGTGTACGTACGCCTTAAAAAAGTACGTCCATGTGTATCTTCATCTAACATCAAAAATTATATTACAGCCTTCGCCTTTTAACACTGATTCTAAAATTATTTCTGCAAACAAATTACCTCGAAAAGTTCCCTTTCCTTTTCCCATTCGTCATCACTAAGAAAAGATAGTTCCTCTCTGGTCGTCGAGAATACTTTAATCAAACAAGCAGATTCATGCAAATAAAGTTTCTCCAGTGAATATGGCATGTCATCAATGGTATTTTGCATTTTTTGGAGATATATTATTCGTCCATGTTCGATCGCCCTCTGTATCATAATCTCCCTATCACGCTCGCATCTTTCCTTATAATTGCAATATTCGTTCTTGATCTTCACCTATAATGAATGCGATAATAAAATGTTACTAGATTTGAAGTTATGTTCCTTAGCAGCGAATAGAAAAACTGAACTTCCATTTATATAAATGTTAAACTTATAAATGGTCTCAAAGGTTTAAGATCATGGTCAAATAGATAAAGATATAAAGCGAGATGTTGGGGCTTTATGATCATCTTCATTGTACTTACTTGGAACCGTTCCTCATACGAACCATCATTGTCAAATTTCCGCCCGTCATCAAAAACCTTTCTTGATTCGATCATTGCATTTTGGTGTATGCTCTCAAATGTGTCGGCAGACAAAGCGCTATTGTCTACGTGATGAGACATTATTGATCTGTATAGTTCCATGGCCTTATCAATTGCATTTGTATTTTCCATCTCTGCTAGAAGCTTTATAGCTCGTTCTACACACGGTACAGACCCGCTCTGAATTGTACCAGTGTACATTTCAGCTAGACCCAAGAGTTCTGAAATAACATCAAAATAGGGTACGTGGTAACCAGTAGCCGATAGCTGATTGTGTAAGACTTATTGGAATAGTTTGCTTGTGGGAAGGCACTGTAGAAACAAAGGTTAATCAGGACGGCACTAACAACGTCATGAATAACACCTATATACCTATGAATAACACCTATATACATGTACATGATACATGGTAAGGAAAAATTAGAGACTTACTTGGCCCATTGATTTCAATGTTTCCATCTTTTGTTGAGAAATGTTTGGTTGAACATTCATTCTTAATGAAGTCACAAAGCTCGTCAACTTGCTCAACAAATTCCTGGTTGAGTTCACATTCCGGAATAGCATTGACACGAGACAAACTCTCATTATCATCTACTGGCCTTCGCAGAACAAAACACTCTCGCCTTTGGAATACACTTGAAATTCTCTCTCTCGGTTCATTGTAATCATTGATCCTATTCCTTTCTTTTCTGTCTCTAAGATGTTTTGGCATTGGTTTCAGTTCCAACATTTTGCCAAGGTATTCATTTGCTGTTATTCTTTCCCCGTCCATCTCTAAGCTCAGCATGAAGTCGCGGAGGACCCATACAAATGTTGGGAATATCTGCTGGTAGTCTTCATAACCGGCTGCATTCTCGTCAGAGTCCTGATCCTGCCCTGACCTTACATGTATGTAGTCAGTTATGTGAGTGATAAAACTGAATATGATTAAAGGAGACAACATTTTCTGGGTGGAGTATTAACCCTTAAACGGTTATGCTATAGAGAATTACTCCAATCATCGGAGGATGTATTAGGTATTATTGCAAAGCGTATTAAATTCCCAGTATTTTTCAACTTAAAACAATATTGAACCATTTTTGTGCTTCGTGCCTTACTGATGATTTAGAAAAGCTCATGTTATAAGGAATACTAAATTGTTTCAATGTTTTGTATTTTCATACCCTGCGCGCAGAGTCTAGTTATAAACTTGAGAGCTCTCTGTTAAGAAGTGAAGTCGAACTAATGTATTCACTTAGAAGGCTTTATAAATAAAACAATTTAGCTATATTGTGAAAGGATACTCCATTTCCTCGATAGCTCTATTATCTATTCGACCCACTGTGTTGTACAGGAACACACTACTGATGAGGATGGCCAGGGCGAATATCTGATTGTCATGGTTGCTGTCCCCCTAAATTACAAAAGAGTAATGAAGATTGAAGCGCTGCATACAATTGTGGTGGTCTGTTTTAGTTAGTCACATACTTTATTTAAAAGATATTATACGCACATACGTGAATATGACTTACATAGTCTTAGTACATAGAAGTACCAGTAAATATCACATCAGTTCATTAATTTAATTTTAATTATGGTAACAATAATATCAATGCTACATTATCGTGTTAACATTGGCGTAATCGAAGGATACATACATACAGACTGACGATCGATATATCTAACCAAGTTACAGATATCCATACAAAATACGACCCAACTGAAAAGAATTCTCACCTTTTCGGCATCATGAAGGCCCTCTGTATCTAGCAACATTATACATTCACCAGGATTCAATGGATGGGGCCTACACCACATCCATATGCCTTTCGTTTTAGACTGTACAGTAGAGCCAAGCTCAAACCCTAAAAGCATCATACATGTACGGGTAATTAATAAAGTTAATAAATCTAAATATGAATTTACATACTCTATTAATCTCTATTGACTATGCTTCAAAAATTGCCTATTTTCTCAATTTTGATCAAATAATACTTCACATGTTACATGTACTTTACTGAAATACTCACCCTTTGCTTTCTTCACATCAGCAAAGCGATTGAGAAGATATGATTTGCCTGTACGGTATGGGCCAACAATGGATACAATGACCAATGGCATGTTTAGGTCAGCGAGGAACTTCTTTGCTTCATCATTGACCTTCCATCCCTGTGTCGCACACTCAATGAACAACATGGGTTCTGACATAAACCTTACATCTGGAGTTTATAAATCATCAAATTATATATTGTAAAATGGATTCAAATGACATCTGAACTGTCGCACTGACTGAACTTAACTGGTTTGAACTCACTTTCTTATTACATTCAATGCCCCCATATTTGGAGAGATATGAGAGGTGCACAAGATCTTATTTAGATAGCATTATCTTAACCCGAATATTTTACTATATTTTAAAAGATTTATTGTCAATTCTCTTCATATGCTCTTTGTCGGTCCATCGTTACGAATTCCATAAATTCAATTATCAAATCATTCCATACCATCTTGTATTACTTCTTGTGCTGGTTGGGAGTCAAACTGAGGAAGCCCATTAGTAACTATCACGTGTACAGAACTCTTAGAGGATTTGTTGCCAAAGTCGTCATCTGTAAAAATGATGAGGCAGGATATATGCCATTTTGGTCCCTCACTAAAATGTTAGTGAAATGTGCCTTTTATTTTCCTTTTTTCCTGAGTTTTGATGCATAATGAACCAATTAACCAATGGCAACATGTATGACATACAAAGTAAAAAAACAACATGAAGAATTGAAAAGAAAATTATTTTTTGAGATAATTTTCAGGTTTTTAAAACTTTTGAATTTCCCGCAAGTTTAATTTGAAGGGGGAAAACCAAGATGGCTGCCATTTGAAGGAAATATCAGAAGAAAAGTCGCTTCTCTTTTAATTTTCACATTGAGCACAGTTTTATGGTTTGGATTTTTTATTGATTCTGACTGTTCATCATCTAGGTCATCATGGATAGAGATTATAAAATTGAAACCATAAAGCTGTGCTCAGTATGAATTTTGCAGAAATATATACAACTCCACCAACACAATTGAAGTGTCAAAATTGGTTGCTCAGTAACTTTGGGTAACTGTAATCCCTTGATCACCCAGATAAACACCAATTCACTCATCAAGAAATACCATTCAGTGCAGTGTCTATACAAAGAAAGTAAGCAATTCTTTGGAGGATATGTTTCAAACATTTTGTATTAATTATTCATTTAGCGCTGTATCACGCGGTCCTAACTTCGACCGTTAATTTGAATTTTTGACCTACCGGATGTTTGAAAATCAAGGATTACGAGTCTCATACTGCACCGTTGTTCTTCAAACTTGTTCCATTCAAAGCATAACAAAAATCCCTTTCTGATGGTACATTATTCTCTTAAACAGAGTCCCTACTTCCAGCGGCATTTTGGTCTCCAGCTGTAAGAAGGCCTCCTAACAGATGGGGACCAAAACGCTGCTAGAACGAGGGACTCTTTACAATAAGTAATGCACCGACAGAAAGGCAATTTTGTTTTGCTTTTAATGGTATAAGTTTGAAGAAAAACGGTGCAGTATGAGACTCGTAATCCTTGATTTTCAAGCACCTTGTAGGTCAAAAATTCAAATTAACGGTCGAAGTTAGTACCGCGTGTGTATTTGCTCTTGTAATTTTTCAATTCTGGCATATAGATATGCGCTGTCTTTGATGCCAATTTTCTTCATTAATTGTGTTACAAATTGATATTCCTTGACTCTTAGAAGAAGGATGGGATATCAAGGTTTGATAGTATGTGTGATTGAGTTTTTCAGACATTACAATTTTGAATATTTTCTTAGTCAATATCCAGACCCATTCCCTGACTCATCCTTTTATGATCGTGTCAATCAGAAAATATTTATAGTATTGTTCATGATCCTCATTGAACGGAAATATATGAAATGTCATATACAGTCTGCATACCGTATATTAGAGATGTATAAATACATCGTACACCATTTAGTCATGTTGTCATGAATATACCAACAAATCTATCTAATTCCGCAGGCTTTTAACATGCTTATTTCTATTCATGTAACTAATAGAGTGTATGTAGTAGTAGTATAGTACCTTTTTCGGGCAATGGTTGAGAAGCTGCGACACCTAAAGCAGATATGTTTTGTTTGGCCTCATTGAGTGCGTCTAGAACTGTTGAATGTCGTGTAGCAGAATCATTATCGTCCCAAACGCTTTTATCACTTGGATGCACATGTGGATTGAAACTACTTTGAATATGTGTACTTGTCGTTTTCAAATTCTTCAAATTCTTCCCAGTGTTGCACCAGGCCATATTTGAGGAATTTTCTTCTAGGAGAGGATCAATATTTGCCTTTGGCGTTTCTGTATGGCCGAGGTATTGCAGTAAACAGAAACAATCTTCGTGGCCAGTTGGCGGATAATAAGACAGCAAGGATGGGATGATGGGATTATTGTCCGGGTTTACACTTAGCATTGAAAAAGGCTGCACTCATGATCCATACAAACCTAGGCAGAAATACAGTTAAAATAAAGAATGAGTCACATAATTTACTTTTCCTTTTGGACAAGGAACGATGGCAAGGGGATAACACTGGAGGATCCAAAGGCTAATAAGGGGATGGGGGAGACCCACATTTCAAATCAGAGAAAGTGGGCCCCTAAATCCAAAAATTGCATTTTGAAAATGTAAGGCCTATTCTTGATCATTTGGCCTAAAAAGGTCCAAAAATGCCAAGTGATGCCCAAAAAGGCTCACTAATTGAGACCCTTCAAAATTTTTGGGCCCCTTATCCTCTGGATCCGCCAGTGGATAACACCAAATGGGCATTCTACACATGAACAGCGAACATACGTTATACATAAATGTTTTAAAAACCCATTCAAATTATACTTGGATTACCTTTATGATAGGAAAAAGTTGAAATCAATTCTCAGTTTGCGTGTGCTTAACTTGATATGCTGCTTTTCGTGTTCACGTTCACGAGTTTTCGGTAACATGATTTATTAAAATATATATTCTACTGTAATTGCTCATGCCAATCATTCGTCCCTTTTTATATACCACATAATAAACAATAAATACACCAGGGGGCTTTTTAAACATTACATTACGCATTCCTGGATCTCAACCTGTTCACATTATTCAAATTGATTAATGCAGATATCTTTTTCTATTGAAAGTGTGAAAATGATAATGTTGTATCATTACCTTAAGTTTTAATAAAAATTGTTGCCTCACCTACTTATTCCCTCGACAATTTCGAGATCATTGCTTCGGCCTTTTAAGAGTGACTTCAGAACATAAAATGAATACATCTGTACGTACCTCTACCATCTCCATGTATATTAGGATATTTTTGCGGCTTCTAGACTCCAAAACGTACCTTAGAATTAAAACGAAAACAATGTTGATCACTATTTGGAATTCCACGAAGTCATCCCTAGACATCACCCGTAAAAGAAAAGTAAATGTCTGCCACTGAATCACCCGGCTGGTATTCCCAGATCACAGTCAAATTTTTTGAAAGTCGAGTCCTTGTGCTTGTTTGTTAAATGTTTCCACCTCGTTTTGAACTGACAAAGCCTATCACATCAACACTGAACGTTGTCAGTTTTCTTTTCAAATAATAAACGAGGAATTTGAATGGTATCTCGCAAGCTTTCCGAATACCGACTGTGCTCATGTGTCGATCAGCTTTGAAAAGGGGGTTCCCCTTTTACGCCTGTAAAAATTTCCAAATGGGGATTCCCCCATTGCTGTTTCCTGTGTAAGTCCCCCGTTTTCAAACGGAATTTATCGTTCATATTAGTCGTAAATGCACACTCCACGTTAAATCAGACTGTAAGGTAAGACATTTCAGATACATTTACATAGTTTTTGGATATAACTTTAATTAGCAAACTCGATTTGTGGGGTAAACTAACAGACAAAACCACCGAGTGCAACTTGGCATGGTATCTCAATATCGAAAAGTTTGTCGAACATTGGGAAACATTGTTGAAGACAATACTAGATTTATATGCTTTTCATCAGGAATACCATTGTGTAATAAGTCTAACTTCGGCCAACATTTTGAGGATAAAATATTCCCTCAGTCTGGCGACCACTTCTTCACTTGCATAGTAGATCTTCATATTGTTAAACCAATACAGGGGACAATACATCAGTCAGTGAAAATTGTGAAATACTAGCTCATTTACAAATCAAGGTCTTAACAAATCTTTAGCATGATAAGAAAAGTATGTGAGTTAAATAGCTGAATCCATTTCATTTTCTGTTTATTTCATGTAGCCTAGACAAGTCTGAGTCACTATTCAAATATACAGCATAAGGCAGTTTAAATTGCCATATATAGAGAACACTTCTATTGCATTTTGCACCACTTAAACGTTGTACCCTTTATGTACAAATAGCATTAGTGTATTATATGGGTTTGTCTAGCCTGTTGCACAGACTCCTTTAATAACATTACCTGATCACGAAAATTGAGATTAAAACTAAATCCTTATTTAATCGTATTATCGGTCCATAATAAAAGGATTCTTGTAAGTCTCTGTTTAAACAAAGTACATCTGGTTTTATTAACAGTAATGGTTATTTGCTTGACTGTGGGATTCCAATCATATATAAAGCTGATTTATGAGAATATTTTGTTGGGCTTATGTAAAGCACATAAAAGGGACTTCCCCGAAAGCAGCATGGCGTGATCGTAATGGAATTACCTAGCATGCCAAGAATGCATTATGTGCAGTTGATCTGGATCGTATATAAGATATCCTATGATTTTTAAACCTAAAACAAAAATAGCATCCGTCGGATACGATTGGATGACCATATGTAACGGATACGATTGGCCGCCAAAATTATCTTGTGCTGTCATTCCCATATATATTTAGATTAGTATCTCTGGGATAAATTCCAGTTGTCACAATTATTTGTATTACACAGGTATTTCCCATCTGATGTATATGGTAATATTTTTTATATATATTGAATGTAAAATCACAAACATTGTGTCAAAGCACAGTGTCAAGATTATTTACGTAGATTTCATACATATTTATAATATTATGAGAGTAGAACCACATTGTACATACATTTGTTCGACTTCGTTTCTTAAAAGAGAGCTTCGTCTCAATAACCAGACCCTGAGCACAGGGTAAATCCAGAACTGCAGATCAGATTTCTCTTTCAGATTTGTTCGACTTCGTTTCTTAAAAGAGAGCTTCGTATTAATAACCAGACTCTGCGCATAGGGTAAATCCAGAACTACAGATCACATTTCTCTTTCAGATTTGTTCGACTTCGTTTCTTAAAAGAGAGCTTCGTATTAATAACCAGACTCTGCGCATAGGGTAAATCCAGAACTACAGATCACATTTCTCTTTCAGATTTGTTCGACTTCGTTTCTTAAAAGAGAGCTTCGTATTAATAACCAGACTCTGCGCATAGGGTAAATCCAGAACTACAGATCACATTTCTCTTTCAGATTTGTTCGACTTCGTTTCTTAAAAGAGAGCTTCGTATTAATAACCAGACTCTGCGCATAGGGTAAATCCAGAACTACAGATCACATTTCTCTTTCAGGTTTTTGTATCATCAAAGTCTGATGCATTGATTAGTGTGGAAAGAATTGTCGTACATGAGTAGTTGAATCAAAACAGTAAAATGAGTTCTAGTTCAGGAACAGAAGATAATGCCGATTGTGATTCATTTGCAATAATCGAAGATGAGCCAGAGTCAATCCAACTTGGTGAAACTGGATCACTGTGCACCTTAAACATGGCGTCTTTAGACTCAACCCATGTAAATCAGACGCTCAAAGCGACAAATGAAGGAGACACTCTCGTGAGGGACCCGGATAATGGTGCACCAATGAGCAATGGTGCATTAGCGAGCACTGGCGCATCAGCGAGCAATGATGTAATTGCAAACAATGGTGAAACTGTATCCCTACAATCAGACTCACTACAAACGTTGACTATAAAAAACAATAACGACATCACTGTTTCAGTTAAGCCTCCCCCAGAAAAGAAAGGTACAGTAATTAACATTTGAAACTATATTAGTAAGTTATTGAACTAAAACTCCCGTTAAAACTACTTGTGGAAGAAGTGCATTTTCCTAATTGTATTTCACGCCATAGGTATGCAAACACTGTCGACCCGTCGTTCATAAACAATGACGAAATCCATGAATGTATTTTGATGTATCTAATGTCCATATCATTTTTTCTTTTCATTTGTAGCAATAAAATATGTGATCTTATTTCTAGAAGTTTACATGGAGAAACCGATGATCTTCATCGAACAAGGTCCAGATGGTAAACTTGTAGTTAATGACGAAGCAGTGAAGAAGTTGTCTAAGATTGAAAAACCCATGGTGATCATGGCGATTGTTGGACCGTACAGGACTGGAAAATCTTATTTGGCAAACCGATTAGCAAATGCCGAAAAGCATTCAGGTAACATTAAAAATCACACTATAATTATTCTCGTAATCTTATGGATATAGTTTAGATCTGTCTTCATTTTAAATAAATGTTATTTAATTCAAGAATTCGAATAAACACTTTTAGTGAAATAAATGGTTGATCGTGTGTTTATTTAGGGTTTGAGCTAGGCGATACAGTGCAATCGAAAACAAAGGGAATCTGGATCTGGGCAAGAGAACATCGAGAAGATCCTGAAAAATGTTTCCTGATCATCGACACAGAAGGATTACACGATGGCACTAATGTAAGATCATAGCAATATCGGAAATAACGCATTAGAATACTAAAAAAAACTTTCCAAATACTCCATCTGACTCTGACGGGTGAACTGTTTTTTCAACATTTTCTTTTCTGATCTTGGAAAGCCATTCTCAAACTAAGTAAATTAAAAATCATATACAATATCGAAGAATTAATAATAAATCAAATACGCCTCAAGAATATGATATTTAAATGAACATTTCTAATATTTTAAAATCATTGTAGACTATTATTTCTTGAAGCATAAGGGCATTTTAAAGTATGATTTTTCTTTACAGAAAGGAGGTGGTAAAAACTACGAAAACAAGATATTTGCTATGAGCATTCTACTATGCAGCGTATTTGTTTTTAATACCACGAGCAGAATTGATCAGAAGGCGATCGATGAACTAGAGTATCCTTTTATCATTTTCTAAACAAATGTAAAAAATCTTAAAAAGTTCCACGACATATTCAATTATTGTAAAATGCATTACTTACCGGGTGTTCATTGAAATGATATGAAAATAAAGAGTTGTAATCATAATTACACTGACATTATTAGATCACATTTACAGTCATGATATGCTGGACAGTTACTTTGTATTTACTTTCTATACATCTCTCATAACTTTGCCCCAAGTCGGTATTTTTACTCATCTGATCTTGAATTATTACCTAGAAATCAAAATAAGTAAAAGAGACCGGCTTAAGGCAAAGATACACCTCTCACTATTCATTTCTATATTTCACTCAACGTTGTTATAGTTGTCTTAACCTAAACCAGTTTCATCACCCATATAACTGATTATATAGAAGGCCAGGCGCCTGATCCCATGGATGACACGAGAGATAACGAAGATTTCGATCCTTATATTAGCATTCGACCTAAATTCGCTTGGGTTTTGAGGGACTTTTTCCTAAAGTGTGAAATGGATGGGCACGTTATTACCTCGGAAGAATACATGGAAAAATGTTTGGAATGTAAAACAATCCCTAGAATGGCAAATAAAAGGATGAAGGATGTAAGTAATGTTCTCATTTCACCCAATGAATTTGATTTATTACTCTTAGGCCAGTTTGTATTATTTCATAAAATCATGGTACTGCTTGATATCCAAAAAATGTCATTAATAATGCAAAAACCATCAATAACCTAGGGCGTGTTGCTTTATTCGAGATTTAGGCTTCATAGTATAAAAATGTGTATCTGACAAAGTTCTGATCTTATTCAAGTCTTGACAATTGAGTCAATAAGCCTACTGCCTAAATTAAAGTAACTACAACGTTAACGAGTTTGTGGATTTGTTCTTTATTATAATGACAATAGAAAATATTGCAGTTTTATCACAATTTATTATTAGGAATGTTCTAATTTACTAAAATATTTTTCAGGAATTGGATGATTTCAATTACCCGAGAGAACAGATCAAGAACATGTTCCCAGAAAGAACGTGTTTCTGCATGGTGACACCTATAAGTGATCAAAAACTGTAAGTCATTATTGACGACCTTAAATCTTTGGGTCTTTACTCTTAAACACCTTGACCTGCTTAAATAGTTTCCATGAATGGACCAGTTTACAGCAGGATAAGCAAAACAAAAAGAAACTAAACATTTCGCTGTCTAAAACGAATGATTTCATAAACGAATTTATTTATTTAATGTTTATAGATTAGCAAATATAGATAGCGTTGACGAGGAGAAGCTTGAACCAGCGTTTCTGCAAGAAGTCCAAGCGTTCGAAGATTTCATCATGTATAAGTGTGAACCTAAGTACATGATGCTTGGACACAAGAAGGTTTACATAACTGGAAAAAGTTAGTCGCCTCAACATTAATTGTTAAAACGAGAATCTTTTAAATTATTAAAAAGTAGATTTTATATTTCTTCTATACTGAGAGTAAACTGCATTGGTTAAGACGTTTTTTAACTCTCCATACCATGGCTAGGACTATATTGAAATTGAAAATAGTACACGTGCTTGTATTAACTCTAATAATTCTTTAATAGATGGTTATTTTTCATTGATGATTGGTTTATGATGTTCACGATATTTTTCAGGACTAGCTTCTTTGGCGGAAACCTATGTACAAACAGACACCCCCAACATTCAGAGGGCAATTGATGGTATAACTAAGCGTGAGAATGAAGCAGTCATGGATGATATCATTGCATGCCACCACGAGCATATTGAGCAGAATTGTTCAATGCCCATGGAACCTAACAAACTCCAAGAATACATTACCAAGCAAGAGGAAGCGTTGATCAAAGAATTTGGAGAGAGAAAAATGAATGATAAAGATTTGAAATATGAAAAAGAAATGAAGGTAAATTAAACAATTAATGTTTTGCATATACATCAAACAAGTATGAGATGAGATTTATGAATCTTTATTCTACAGGAAGCCTAAATTTAATTGGCATGGCTGATACAGTTTGATATCATTTGCTTTGATCTAAATATCGTCCATTGTACAGGGTGTCCCGAACGTTTGGGACCCCCTAGACAGACATATACCACTTTCTCCACAGTATGTGTCATATATCATTTTAAAGGGTGTCCAAAGCACCTTGGTTTACGCAAAATTTATAGTCGATGTGTTTCTCTTTGCCATGTTAGCAATTCTTTCAAGAAATGACCTAGCACGCTTCAAATAGGAATCCTATCTGCCCTTACCGTCCTCGTTTCCAGCTCAATATCCATCTTATTTTTGGTCACATTCAGGCTAGGGATGTTTTCAGGACACTGAACTTCAATTTTGCGAAACACTAAGTTTTGAGATGCCTGTGAGTTGAACCATGATACTCCGCAATAACCCAGATGCGAGTAGAAATAATCTTGATTAACGTCATTAAAAATTCAAAATTCAGTCAAAGTAATATCATATTTGAAATCTACATGTAAAATTACATCTAGAAATGTGGTTTTAAAAAGTGTTTATCAATTTTGAAAAATTAATTTTCTTGGTAAATGTGACTTCTAGCTCGGGGAGATTCCCCATAGACCCCATGCTATAAAATCACAAAAAATGAAATATCTTTTCTTTTAGTGGAGAGATAATATTTTGCTTTACTGGACATATTTTCATTAGTATAAGTATCAGACACATAAGGGTTATATGAAAATTGAGCCACTTAAATTGATAATATTCAAGTTTAAGGGAATTTTCTTATATACCTGCAATGTTAATTGACCCGAATCAGCCACCTGGTGGTGAAACTGGTAACTACCTACTCGCATTTGGGTAATTCAATGTGACTTTGGATAAGCTTTAACACGGTATATGACATATACAATGGAGTCATTGGTAGGTGTCAGCCTGTGGGAGGGGTCCCCAACTTTCGTGGCGACCTGTACTTAATTATTAACATTTGCCATATTGTAGGATCGCATCATTAAGTCAAAGGAGAGTATCCTGCAGACAAATGAAGCTATTGTAAAATCAGAATGTCTTAGGTTGCTTGCCGATTCTGTTGAGCATTACCACGATCTCATCAGAGAGGAGTGCATCTTTCCCGTTCCCCAATCAGATCTCCAAAGAGCTAATGCTGACACACATAAAACCATTGTGCAAGACTTTATAAAGAACACAGCATTTGATTCAAAGCAGCAGTTTGTGGAGAAATTAAAGGTACAGAGAGTGTAAGATAAGATTAACACAGATATACATGTGAGTTCAGAGAATAAAACAAATGCAAATGCAAAATTGATAATTTTCCAAAATAGTCTACTAAAATATAATTCAGAGGTCGTTAGCAATATGATCATAAATCTAATACAAATTCAAATAGATTAAAAAGGTGTTCTGTATTGTTTTGTTCCTAATCCTGCTGAAACATAGAACTCTACACTGTGTTAATTCATTAGAAATTTCAGAGCTTGCCAAAAGCAATGGAAAATTGACAAGTGTTCCATCATTTATAAAACGATGTATTAGCTGACATGAACCCAGACGTTTACAAATTGACCTAGTACTATTTTTCTTCTGTAAACCTGTAAATACAATTGACTGCTTTTCCATCAATAGAGTGATCTTGAGAGAGAGTACAAAAAGTTATTGGAAAGGAACGAGGCGGATGACAATAGAATTCGATTGAAAGGGAAGGAGAAAATCGACGAATGCTGTTCGCATTTGGTTTGTTCTATGAAGAAAGAACGACAGGACATTGGGAATGAACCAATAGATGATGAAGATCTTCGCAAGGTATACGACAAATGCTTTGATGAAGAAATGAAGCGCTTTGGTGAAGCAGTGACATTTTATGGAAAGGAGGAACTTCAAAAGAATCTTAAGGTATATACGAGGGGTGATCAATAAGTAATGGACGCTTTTTTACACAGATACTTTTTATTGACCAATCCCTTTGATTTTCCTACCAGTGATACATCGTTTAATTATCTATCAATTCTGAAGATTTGAAGACAAAATATATAATAATACATGTTGATATTTCCGTGAAGGAGGTATAGGAACCCCGGGACCGACATTCAGTTTCAGTAAGTATTGTGATATCAAAGTGGTGTATATCATATCTAACAACTATCATCGTTTATCATTGAAATGATGACATTGTGCTATTTAAGAATACAGTGCTTTGACATTATGCGTGTCATTATTATGTATTTTCAGCATAAACTTGATGAGGAAAGAAAGAAATTTGAAATCATGAATAAAACAGCACGTGACCACAAAAAGTTACTAGAAACTGAGAAGAGGCTTGCTGAGACGGCACAAAACCTTAAAATAACTACAGAAACCTCCGACAAAAATAAAAGTGAACTGGAAATGGTAAACAAACAACTTATGAAAACTAAAAAAGAGGGAGAACAGGTGAAGGAAAGGTTGTCAGAACAGAACAAAAAGTTGGATGAAACTGTGCAAAAAGCTAATGAATTGGAGAAGGTAAGTTCAAGAGATATTTTACTTTTACAATTCCCATAAATAACAAATATTTCATTGTTACGTTAACATATCTTTCAGTCTTGCAAGATGTCCTAAAATGCAATCTGTTATGAAACAAAATCAAAATTGCTCTAACTTGGCGCTTTTTTATTTGACGAGTTGGACTTTTGAAATTTTGGCTGCTATTTAATTTAGCGGATTGGCCCATCAGTAAAATATGAATATTTGAGGTCTAGTCAGGAAGTCACGTGGACAGGTTACTCTGTGGTTACAATTAAAATATTGAAAAAAATTTCAATCAGACTTAGATTGCGGGGATTAAAAAAAATTGGCGGAGACTTAAACTGCTGATTTTATCAATCAACCCGATTAAACAGCCGTCAAATTATGTATGTATTGTGTAACTTGAAATTGTTTTGTGATATTTGTAGTCCAACAAGAATCTTGAGGTTAATGTTCAAGAGGAGTGTGAGAAAAACAAACAGATGCATTTAGAGTTGAACGAGAAAATGAAACAGCTGGCTGAAACCAATGATCTTTTCATGAACAAAACAGTAGAGTTAGAAAACACCAGGAAGTTGGTAGACACCATGGGTTTACTAGTCGAAAACCTGGAAAAATCTAGGGTATGCATTAGTTTCACATAAATTGTCGACGATAATTTGTTCTTTTATACCTTTTATTTGTACTTCAGCAGATCTTTGTTTTATCTCATAAATATGATTTTTTTAAAATTATTATTATTGTTTATTCCTTCCATCATACAATTTATACACGTTATACATACTACTGTGTACCAATAACATAAACTCCATTGAATTCTTTACGGAAATGAGATAACTGTTACTCAGACAGTAAAATAACATTTTGTAACATGCCATATTCAAGGGATATATCATTTTATTTGAAATTAAATGTGGGTATAATTATATTTTTGTTTTTTAAAGACATTAAAAATTGATTTTGTTCTATGATCGTTTTATATTTATATTCCAGGGTCTTTTCCGATTGAGACTCAAGGGTGCCCCTTACATCCTAGAGGCTATTGCAGAAGACAAAGTAATTCTAAGCAAAATTGAAGCTGGAAAAAACAGCAAAGGTGATCTTTGGAAATGCGATGGACTCTATATTGTGAATTATGAATTTCAAAAAGTACTTGACTTCAATCCGAGAGAAATGCAAAAAGGACGCACTAAACTGTTCTTGTCTGAAAAAGAGGGAGGACGGGTTTCGCAGCATTGGTTGTTGAAAAGTGACCAGGCCTTCGTGCGTATCAAGAGTAAACAGCGGTCAAAAGATAAGGACTTAGTATTGGAAGGTGATTGCAAATTTTTAACAGGAACCAAATTTGACAAAGCTGCAGAAAAGGGAGTTTGTGTCGCCGAGCGTGCGAGCATAGATTTTATATCAGAAAGTCAGAAATGGGCATGCATCATAGCACACAATATCTCAATCACGCAGCAAACAGAAGACATTATATAGTAAACCGGTCATTGACTCGTCGACTAGGAGGCAAAACCACCCATCTCTGACCCAGTACACATGTATATCGATGGCATCTCCAGCAATGTATCGTGTGTATATTTTCAAAAGAAATTGAATAAAATACTTAACATAAATATATGTGTTAATTTTCTCAATATAAATATAATACCAGGTATAAATAAGTAAATATATGTAGAGTGTAAAATGTACAGAAAGTTTTCCCGGGTTTCCCTGCAATCCTTCTTTAATACATATTTAAAATTGAGATGTGATAAATTAAGAACTTCAAATGTTTAAGGTAACATAAATCAGAAATGTCCAAATAGATAAGTTAAAAAAGAGAACGTTCACAGTTCAGACTTTTGTGAAATAATCTTTTCTTTTTCTTTTAGAATTTTTGAGCGAGACCCATCCCACAATCCTCGTCCAGGCTGATACAGATATGAGCAATTTTGATAAACATGTATTTCTTTTTTCAAACTTTGAAATATATAATATCATATATATTTCTTTTATTGACAATTGTATCAAAACATGACACATTAGTTTATGTACAAACTAGGCTGTCTTGACTCGAGACAATACTACACTATAAACTAAATGTTAAACTATATTCATGTACATGCACACTATGTACATGTAACATAAAATCATTTGCATGAGTTTACAGGCTCTGTGTAAAAATTAATGCATAAAAGATAAGGACTGTATTAGCATTGTACAGTAGCACAATAATTGTAGTTTACTCTACCTTTTGGAAAGAGCGGTAAACATAATGGTCAATATATGTCTTTGAATAGTAACAAAGTTTCTTCTGGAAGGACTCTCCCTTGTGCATCATGTTTATACAATCAATATATAATATTTATTCCATAATAACATGTTTTCCCCGGGAAAATTACAGGGAATAAAATTGATATTCAAAGAATCCCGTATTGGATCCCGTATCAGCAAAAATCCCGTATCAGAACTATCCTGGCAATTTCCAATTTCTGAAAATGTTATATTATGATAAATTGTATCATTTTATGTCACAATCATTGGGTGATGACATACAAAAATTAGAAATAATAAATTCGTTTTAGAAAATTATTATAGAATAAATAGGTTATTGATGGTCGTGATGGAATATGAATTTTTTCCTTGAGAAAATATAATATTGGAAAATATCATATTTGAAAATCATATTGAAAATGTTTTATATCTTGGGTCACTCTCATCAGGTTCATACCTTATAAAACTCTATTCAGATAAAACAGCCACACATTTAGTTAGTGACCGGTCTTGATAAAAGTTTTAAGTCGTGGACTGTTCAGAATCTTTACGAAAACGATTCCGTTCGGCATAACAAAATAAAGCACACTTTCTCCTTTGCCATGATATCACGAAATGCAGGCAGAATCTTCACGACCTTTTTGGCACGCTTCGGTATGTTGAAGAAAATTAAAACATTTTCCTATTGTTCATCAGACATCAGTATTATCTATATAAGCCCACTTTTTAAGCTCCATTTAAAAAGAAGAATTGTTTTGACCATTCTGGCCTTTCATGAACTATTCGTTCTCAAACGCTTAGATTTTCTGAAATACATGATGCCTACACACTACGTCTATGCCAAAACCAAAAATGTTGTGAATATTCTGCCTACAGCTCATGAAATCATGGAATAAGAAAAATGTTGTACCTTCGAAACGAAACTGCTCCATTTTGTTACCGAAACGGATCCGTGTAGAAAGTCAGTCCGATCAAATGCTGTCATTCTGTTGGAATGCTATTCATCATGGAAATTATGATCCAAGAATGAAAAGCTTGACAGCAAAGGGGAATCCCGCCAGATGTCAATGGAAAGTCAGAATGACTAATGGAAAGTTTACTAGAAAAGGGGAATCCCTTTAGAAAATGTTCATGGGAATTAAACTAGTCATATTTGAGGAAAATAATTGACTGTTTAAAAGATATTATTCCAGGCTAGAACGACTTGCATTGCAAATCAAGCCATTTATTGTACATCCGGGATGGATGAATGTGCAGAACCTTCGGGTTCTTCGAGTTATCCATCACTGGATGAGACACATGCTAATTATAAACATCAGTTGTGTGTTTCAACTCGAAAGTTTGCAAGACTACTAGATATCAAAAACGCCGATGCCCACAATGGAACTATCCAACCTCCCGATCAGTGCAGCAAACGATGTACAAGTCGTCTTCCAATCTCCGTCGTCAATAATAAGAACACCAACACGATGATCAGAGAAGTAGCATACCAAACGGAGAAAAGAGGACTTGAAAGTGAGGAAACATTCCGTGGATCTCGAACCAATATGGCGAATCTTGGCAGGTAAGGAACTTATCACTGTGTTTTCTGAAATATATGAGTTGTAATTGAAGTCGAAAGCTTTTTAAATGAGACTTTATAAATCCAATCAATTAAACATTATTTATTTGCCTATGAAGTTGAGAATGAGAGTAAATATATTTGAATTTCTAGAACAATATCGATGTTTAGAAGAACGTAATGTTATTGCGCCAGGTTTTAAAAATGATATCGATAATGATTTTACTTGTTTTCTTTGTGTTGGCACGCGTGTTTTCACGGTACACTGCTCAGTGATTGTCAGTGGTAATATCATATGATTTCAGCAGCTCAACGGCTAACACGATTAAACAAACAACTGAACTGCTCGATACGATTCTCGAGGCCACGCGAGATGACATGGCGCGACAAAAAGAGATTGCACAGAGTGAACAGGCAGACAAAGATTCTGGCATCAGCATAACTACATTCGACCCTGACGATGTTTGACTGAAAAGACATAATTTCCCATCAAAAGGAGGTCCTACAAAGTATAAACCATATAAATGGTGTATGAACGCCTTTCGATCGTGAATGAGAATGAAGCCGAAACATCGACAATCTGTGATGTTCTCTCTTCTTGCCGTCAGATGGCTGGTAGAAATAAACAACGTGGAGATGGTCGTGAATGAAAGTAATCTGTGATTACTAATCTATGCTCAATGCATGTTCATGCGTCGGTCCGTTATCATTTGAAGAAGACGTCAAGCTTTATTTGTCACGGGGAAATACACTTTTGGTCAAATATATGGAATATTGGGCAATTCACAAAAATCAGTATATTGTCTTAATCTTTACAATTAAAGTTTCAATTGCATGAAATTATGCAAGAGTGATTGTTCTAAATCGTCGAGTTAAAAATGTATTCAAGGAAACCTTTAGTCTGAAGTCTGAAGAATACGCTCTTCGATGGATTCAGACGGTTCACTTCCTGGAAAATAAAAAAATGTTTTATTTACAAATGTGTCTCGTTTATTTTTCCTGACCAGGCATTGAAACGAGGAAATCAATTGCAAATTGGACAATATTCCATATAAATTAGCAACGGTGTAGTACATTTAAGCCTTAAAATAGTATAAGGTCATCTATACTCACAAGAATCATTTAAATGAGCAACATTTTGTGGAACTTTCATTTGATGAATTGGAAATAATTCTTGTAACTAAGAATAGATGTTAAAGGCAGAACCAATTTTTTAGTGACAAAACTGCAAGCAACAATTGATCTTCCAATGTATTACTTTCAAGCTCAAATATAATATCTTCCAAAAGATCCATGATACTGTATGTTATCAATTGGTGAAGGTATCTAAGATTCAAAGTGCAAAAATGGGGGGGGGGGATATTTCTAAATTTTCCTAAATAATAATAATGGCTACCATTCTTATAGACAAATAATTACACTATTGTAAAATTCTATAGTTTTCCTAACAAGGAATTATATGAGTCCAAAATATAACACCATGGCTCAAGATTTCCGTCGATTTTAAATAAAATTGAAACGATTTTCGTCAAGGTGAAGCACCATGGTAATCGCTAGATATGATTCTGCCTTTGATATTAACATATGGTTTTAGCACAATATTAGCTAAAAAATGATTATTTTTTAGTATAATTTCATTGGTACTGCACTTGATTAAGCTATCATTACCGAAACGGATCCGTCCATATAATTCCTCCATTTTGTTGCGTCAACGGAACTTCAAAAAATATTTGCTATTTGAACATGTTCCATTAACGTAACAATAGTGAGGTATAGATTCTACGATTCTTCCGAACTATTAATTGTTTGCAAAAATATTTCTCAAACATATGATACTGATACACGGTTACAATGATAAAAAAATATCGTTGGAATTCTGCCTACAACTCGTGAAAGAAGGAAAAAGAAAAATCGTACCTTCGAGGTGCCGACCCGAAACGGATCCGTTCCGGTGACTAGTCTGAAGAGTACAGTATCGGGGAATTAGTTGTTTATGTAATGTTTAAATAGTGTGTGTCATTGATTTCATCGATTAATATAAGTAATAAATTAAAGACCATATTTAAAAAATATTTAAGGTTACTTTACGGACAAAAAAGGTCAAATAAAAATGAATAACATGAAATTGCAAGTTCCATATCCGCATGTCAACGCCATCTTAAGGGTTACCATACAGATCGATGTACATATGAATGTAGCTTTAGGTCCTCACTATCTTGTGATCATGAAAGACTTGAAAGGTCAAGTTTATTTTTATGATCACCAATAAGTTAAATATATATGTCTTCTTCATTATTATTTATTAAATGGGTGCATTATATGTCAAAGTAATAGAAATGAGGTATTGCTCGTCAAATATGGCGGTAACCAAGATATAATGATAAATTGGCGTTCCTAAGTGCAGAGTATGATAGACAAAATAACTATGAATTAGAAAAATTTTGACCAGTTTTAAAATGGGGAATCCCCATTTTCTACTTATCCTCATATACAGTATAATTAAAAGTAATATATTCGAAATATTATTAAGATCTTTATATTCAGAAAGCCATCGATGTTTCTTTTGTTGAAAGTTTATTTGAAATAACCTAAACATAAATCGACTTGTAATCCTGGTGCCACGGGAGCAGTTCTATGATCTTATGGAATTACTATGACTTCTGGGAATTCCAAATTTTAACTGGTAAATCTGGTTTTAATAGCAATCGTTTTTTCAAATGATATCCTTATAGAAGCACAGGCTGATGTATGGAAAGTGAAATTAGTATCATCAGTATATGTAAATTTGGTCACTATAATTTTTAAATCCACATCATCGACTAACAGTAATGTACATTGCTATTTCAGATGGCTGTACATATAAGTTATTTTGATATATTTGATATTATTGAACAATTTTGAGAAACATTTAGATCTAATCTTATTACATTCAATATTCAGAGACTATTAACATTTCTTTTCTAATTGAATATAGTGAAGGCCCGGGTTAAGGTGACATCGATCATGTTCGGTTGCACGTGAAAGTAGAACTAACTATTTGCTCCTCATTTCAGCCATTTCATATACATTCTCCAGACACTATCCATTATTACACATTATCCAAGATCCTTAAAACGACGAGGATTCATTTTTGACAGTCCCAGTTTCCCAAATAACCGACTCGTAAGGGTTACGCCCTTAATATTACGCCCTTACTTCATTACATATTATGGAAGTAATGAATATGTTTTCAAATTTTGCAAAGATTTGCTTGATAAAAACCCAAAGATAGTTTATCAATTCTAATGTCCATATTCAACCCATCAAGATGCATTTTAGGAAATATTTACAAGCTATTCCTCATGCTCAATACGTAGAGTATCTAATGCTGTTTTCCGCTCATTTTTTTGTCCTCGTGTTTGAAAAGTGTGTTGATAGGGGGATTGGGTCATTGGTCAACTTTACTGTATAATAACTGTATAATCGCGTTATCATAATCAGACATGTTTATATATTTCTTGAAAATACAAAGCATTGCAATTGACCTTAAGACACATGGAATTCCACTTTCTCTAAATGGGATGAATTGAATAAGACCTTTGACTGGTATGGATAAATCTGGTTTTGATATTTCTATGATATTCATCTCCCTGGTACATATTTGGCCTGAAGGAGTACATCCAATTCTCCGAATGGGTTTCTGAGCAATGGCGCGTGAACCCGTCTGAAGAACATTATAGTACCGAATTGCCCCATGCCATTCAAAAGGTGATCGCGAAAAAATCCTTGAGTATCCATTGAATATTTAATTCGGTATTACACTGATTCACGAATTCAGAGATACGGGGATTACCCACTTTATTTTATTATCCGTGTTATTTTTGTGAATAATATTTTTACTAACGTTGATACATTGCATTCTAGATTAAAAAAAACACAACACAAAAATATTGAAACGCCTTGGTGCGAAAGGAACCGATATGCATACTGAATGAAGACAAAAGCAACATAATGGTCCACCAAAAGAAACTCATGCTATGATTTGACTGATCTAAAACATGAGTAGGAGAAGGAATCCACTTGATAATGTGAACATTGCGCTTCAAAGAGGAGGAAGCTCCAGAATCCCGAACAATGGGCTGCAGGTAATTAAACTTTACCATATGTCTCTGACCTATGTAACGTTTTTACGATGATTATTGTTCACGTCATTCCGAATACAAATTGGTCACCCTATTCTGAAAAGAATTCATTAAACATTATTTCATTAAAACCGAGATTTGAGTCATCGACCTTTGCATTAATTACATGCTGATTGAATATGTATGAAACGAATTCAATAAAGTGGCCGTTAAACGTCCGGTGACAGGTCATCTCAACCCCAAGTCATCTCAACCCAGTCCAACTCAACCCCAAGTCAACTCAACCCCAAGTCAAGTCAACCCCAGTAAAACTCAACCCCAAGTCAACTCAACCCTGTAAAACTCAACCCCAGTAAAACTCAACCCTATTCATTTGTGCAATGTCTAATTTAATTTTTTCATGATGAATAATTTAAGTCATTCATTTCTGAAAATCTAGCATTTTGCATGATACTTTGAATAGAAAGTTGTAAAGTATTCAAAAAATGGTTACGCTCAAGGATAATTCATCAAGTTGTCACTATTATTTAATTTATGACATCTTTTGAAATCAAATTTTAGAAATAATTAACAATGTAATCTAACTTTTTATTAATATGAACATGCATTAACAAAATCATTAAGATTTACTAATTCATAGACTGAAAGAATATAGGCGTAGCCAGGAGGGGTGCGCACACACCCTCCCCCAATTTTGAAGGAAGTTGCATCATTTTTTGTCAAAACATATCTTTTTTTGGCTCGCTTATGCCACGATCGGCACCCCCTGACTGAAAACCTGACTTTTTGAACGATCGCATCCCTCCTGATTGAAAGCTGGCTATGCCTCTGGAAAGCAATGGTCATGTCCCAGTTTTCCAAATTATCACGAGTGTCAACCTCATAGAGATTACAACAAAACAAATGCATTAGCAAGATTAATAAAATGACCCATATTTTAATCCTATTAGTACCATGGTGACATTTTGGAGATAAACTCATTATTAACTATAATCTAAAAAGGCAGTAGTCTAAGAATGAAAATCACAAACTGAATAATCAGAATTATTTTTATGAAATAAATTTTCTTATAAGTTTATCAATATAGAAATATAGGGGTTGAGTTTTACTGGGGTTGAGTTTTACAGGGTTGAGTTGACTTGGGGTTGAGTTTTACTGGGTTGAGTTGACTTGGGGTTGAGATGACCAGGAACGTCCGTGTGTGGAAATATTGAAGAATTCCAAGACAAATCATGATCAGGTCAATTCAGATATACAATAACAAAAGCTTATGTTTGGCGATTTAAAAGAAATCTTTGTCCGATAAATATTCAAAATATTGTATCTAAGGAACAAAATTGAGATTCAAATTTTTACAGGTTTTGATGATATGCTGTCCTGTCAAACTTATTGAGGGCAGTGTATATTAACCTTCGAGCTTTGGCGGATTTAAGTTGGCAAATCAATGTATGAAAATGGCAGGCTATATACAATATAGTACACTAATAAATAAAAATGTCACCTCTCACCTTGTTGAAGAGTTAAAGATAAAACACGTTTGAGCACACTACGCCTACTCAGAAAACATGATGTCATCAGCTAGAGTACTTTCGTTTTGGGATCCGGACAATTTCGTCTTGAATGCTTTTGTACTTATATCCATTGTTCTGGGAAATTTTTCAGTATGCTTTTCTTCGTGACAAAATGCTAGGCAATATGCAACCAATACAAAAACTGGAAAATTGGATTGTTAAATATGTTTCTTTTTCATGTAAAATTAAATGATTAATTAAAATTGAATGATATACTGATATGACCCAATTAATTAAACATGCAAATGAAAGTTAAACCATTCCTTATTGGCAATTGAGGGAATCAATCTCCCGGTCGTTATGTTTAGTAGTTGGTGTATTTAAATCTTAAAGTAGCTATTGAATATAGTCTTCATTTTTTGAAGGACAACAGAGTGGACCCCAATCCAACGCAGAATGTTCAAGTGCTGTCACAACCGTTGGAAGGACCGAGCACCGCACAGTTTGAGGGAGATGCACTTCTTGATGAGGCCACACGGTTGTCAGAGGAATCTACTGGTGCTGATTCAGAAGAATACGTGCTTGATACGTCTAATTCAGCGCCCAATACAACGGTTTATACAAGTTCACCTGTTCATATAGGTGATACGTATATTAATCAAGGGGATGCTGCAGCCTCATCATCCAAACATGGTAACAAATAATGCTTTGTCAAATTCAAAATATTATAAAACATGTGTTTGCTTTATAAACGAACTCATGGCTACCCTGTACTCGAATTATGGTTTGGGTGGTGCCATCTTATTTTGATTGAATGAACAAAATGATCATTCAAATCAACTATTTATGCTGACAGTTATATGAGTATGAAAAACATACATTGTAACCGATTTATTTAAATCAACTATTTTTGCTGACAGTTATATAAGTATGAAAAACAAAAACAAAACAAATGTGCATTGTACTGTGGAAAAACCATATAAAGTTATTGCATATAAGTTGTGTAACATTGAATGGATATGCGTTGTCTTAATGTCTTCAGTTACATACATGGATACGCCGATGGTCTTATTAGAGCAAGGACAAGGGGACAACTTAGTTGTTCACCAGGAGACATTGGAAGTTCTGCGAAAAATATCAAAACCTATGGTTGTCATGGCAATTGTTGGTCCCTATAGATATGGAAAATCTTTCCTTGGCAACAACGTCATGAAAACCCCGCACAATAAAGGTAACAAACAAATTGCTCTGGGGTACTATTTGATTTTGATTTTAAAGTTGTTGTCCAAATATAAAGTCTCTTCTGTACTTCTAAATCTATGATGCTCGTTAATTATTATCCAGGATTCGAAGTTGGTAGTTCCTTAGATGCTAAAACGAAGGGGATTTGGATTTTTGCTAAAGAACATCCAAAACGCCGAGACTGGTGTTTGGTACTCCTTGATACTGAAGGTCTTCATGATGCCACACCGGTAAGAGAACTACGAGATGGCTCACACTTACTATTCAAGGCACATAGTTATATGATTTGCATAATTAAAACGTTCGTCACATTTTTTATCATTTTAACCCATGAAAAACTAAACAATGAGGAATATGAAAGGAAGTCAATTTCAAATGACATCCCAGTTGATAACAATATTTATGTCGCATACGTCATTGAACAGAAACAGGCGTCAACAGGTTGGTCAAAGGGAGAGTATCAAATTGTTGGCGAAGAGATCGTCACTTTCAATTTTAGAAATAATTTGCTGTCTGTAGACGTTTCGTAAACTCAATTGTTACATTTATTTCTATTATAGGAAGCAGGGGGGAAGAATTATGAGAACAACATCTTCGCATTGAGCATTTTACTCTGCAATATCTTCGTCCTTAACCACAACAACAGAATAGACCAAAAGGCAATTGAGGATTTAGAGTATCCTTTATAAAGAATCGAGATTGGCCGCAGGACAAAGGTTTAGTGTCTTTAGTGCTACTCATTGACTTTCATATAGAGTTAGAATTTTGATTTACTTTAACTTTGATTTACTTTTTTAATCTTTTTCTTAATTGTAAAACAGCTTTATAACTGACATAACAAAATATATTGTTGGTCAAAAAACAAAAAGAGAGAATGGTGGTGAGGACCAGTCTGAAGATGATTTAGACTCAAATGACCCATATCACAATGTCAGACCCGCCCATCTAGCTTGGATTTTGCGGGACTTTTACCTCCAGCCAGAGATAGACGGACGAATTGCGAGCCCTGATGAGTATTTGGAACACTGCCTCAAAACCAAGCTTATGCCAACTACACTTCGCGACAGATCAGTAAAACAAAAGATTGATGACTACAACTTCCCCAGGGAGCAGATTGTGAGCATGTTTCCAAAAAGGAGATGCTTCGTGATGTGTAGACCTGCCGCTGATAGCAAGTATGCATCTAATACATGAAGATATATTAAATAGGATAGATTATAATACTTCGTGATCAATTAGACTGGAACCGATTATTCTTTTAATTTTCTGTTATAGATTACAAACAATGGTCTCACTAGAACGATCTGATTTGGACCCCAAGTTTGTTGAACAGATGGATGAGTTTATTGAATTTGCATACAACTGTGAACCAAAGGCTCTCACCATAGACAATAAAAAGATTCGCATCGATGGACTAAGTAAGATACGTGTAACAGTGTCATGCATTAACTGAATTAAGTTTTTTTCAAAATTCGATCTCGCATCGCTTCATTTACGATTCTATTTATTTAAAGGGTTTGCCAGTCTTGTAGAAGAGTACAGCGCGTTGAAAACACCTGACGTTGAACGTGCAATCGTTGCTCTTACGAAGAAAGAAAACGATGACCTTATTGAAAGGTGTGCCAAAGAATTTGAAGATTCAGTGAGACATATTGTGGAAATAGGATCACCAAAGCCATCACGTAACTTAAAAATTACTATTGGAAAAAAGACCCATGAGAAATTGCTCCTGTTTCAGAAAAACAAAATGAATGACGACGAAGATAAATTTGAAGACAAATTAAAGGTAAAACATTACATATGTCGCCACGCTCCACTTAAATATAATAGAAACTTACTTTTTTCAATAAATATACTACAAAATCATATATTTCATTCTTTTCCAGAAACGATTGCTCAGTTTGGAAATTAAGTACGTTAACAAAAACGAAGAGCATATCAAGAATAAATGTGAAACATATCTGAGAGATGCGGTGAAACGATACAAGGAAATCATTGAGTCTACGTGTCGCTTTCCTGTTCCGAGAGAAACACTCCTCGGTGAATCGGACAAAATCTCGAACAAAATTAAGGAGGAGTTTTGCGATCAAATCAAGAAGTTCGATATGGATGAAACATTTTCCAAGAAATTGGAGGTATGGCGATCGCGATAATAATTATTCATATTTTACTTAGTTTAACCTCTTCGGGAGTGGTTTAAAGAATCTTGAAAGTATAAAATATTTATTTCAATACTTAATTTCAATAGTTGTTAATTATTTGATGAAATATGGATTGAATGCTAGAGGCTTCTATGCATGGTACACAACTAATACGAGCTTCTCCGATATCAAACTGACTGAAACATGTGCAAATCTACCAAAGATATATTGGAAAACGACATGGGATATTCTGTGATAAATTACACTCGAGGTACATTTACGTTAAATAGGCCATCTAGGTGGTTATACATTTTGTTATCATCAAATAAATGCAGAAATATAATTTTACAGTCTGAATTGAAGAAAGAAGCAGAACATTACGATACACAGAACAACTCTGACGACCAAAGAATCCGTCTTGAAGGACACCAGAAAATTGATGGAGCTCAAGATCAATACAGAAAAATGATGGAAGCTGCTATGGGTACAATGAGTAAGGCCTTCACCGATAGTGAAATGGATGAACTTCACGACAACACATTCAAATCCGTCAGGGAGGTGTTTGAAAAGGAGATCGGGAAATTTTATGATAAGAAGTCCCTATTGGTCAAATTGGAGGTAAGTAGAATAACTATAAGAAATAAGTAAAATATCGTTTTTAAAGAATATTCAAAAAAATTTAAAAAAATAATACAATAGTTTTCATTGAACCACATTTTTAATATTCGGATTACGACAATGGAGTTTCTTTTGAAATGATCACGTTACATTATTTTCTTATACGAAAAAGCATACATTATTAGGACTAAAAACTCAAAACGCTTTCTTAGGGAAGAATACTAGTCGAATTTGATAGATTCATCAGCAAGAATAACCATGTGAGGCAAACAATAGAAAACGAACAGACAAGTAAAACTCTGAAACAAACACATATTGCACTAGAGGAAACCAAAGAGAAACACAGGGAAACGGCAGAGAACCTCAATAATACGAAAGAAGAGTTGAGCAAGACAAAACTGGAGCAACATAAATTAAAGAAAAAACTTGATGACCAGACGGATAGGTTGGATGAAGAGGAGAAAAAACGAGCTAATCTTGAACAAGTAAACATTATACAGTTGTAGAGTATTAGTTTTGACCCAATTTCGTATAATATGTTGAACATCATAGACCTGTTCGTTCATTTTTAGAAGACTTAAATCAATGCGTATCAAAAAAAACGCAACAGATTGTTATCTCGGAAAAGCACAAAACCAATGATAACAGCATTAATTTCATTCAATGCAACATAAAGCCATGTGTCTCCTCTTTACAATGATATATCATTCATTGATATTTGGTCATGGTTGGGTGAGTAATCATTCCATTTGCAAAGTAGGCCAAAATTAGCTTTTGACCAAGTTATAAACATCGCAAAAGTCAGTGTACGGAGCCTGATGCAATATTGGAAAAAACATAAAACCAATGCTGACTGCATCCTTTTCATTCAATGAACCAAAAAGCCAAATTACTCCTCTTTGCAATGGAATATCATTCATTCACAGGGAGTCATGACTGGCCGAAAAATCATTAATTTTGCAAAGTGGGCAAAATTCAGCTCGGACCCAAGTTTTAAAAAATGCAAAAGTCAGTACAAAGGGCATAGGGGCTATTGGAAGAAGATGTGACAGGTGTGGCATAGACAGTAAAGTGTCCATACTCATACTCTTGCAAGAATACCTCCTATACCTCTCCAAATTGCCACCACTTCCTTGCACATAAAGATGCACTCACCTGCCCACGTCATGCATGGTTCAGCCCTGAGTCATCTGTGGGTTAAAGCAGAGAAAAACAGCCCATGGGCAATTCTTTCTCGAGGTTTTGCAATATCTAGTGGAGGAATTGTGAGCACAGATGCTCCTGAGATAGCTCCAAAAGAAAAAGTCACAACAATTCAATTCAGAGGAACTTCCATTGGCACTTAGCCCTTGCACTGATTTTTGCAATATCTAAAACTTGGCCAAGATCCGATTTTGACCCACTGTGTAAACGGAAGGATTTCTCACCCAACCATTATCACATGTGAATGATAGACATATCATCGGAAAGAGGAGAGATGTGGCTTTATGATACATTAAATGATCCTCGGACAATCATCCTATAATTTATCTTGCCACAGTCCGCAATTTTTTAATAAATAGATTCCTCTGGAACAAATGATATATCCTTTTTTTCTTTTTCTAAAATCTAACATTTAACTTAGGCCATTCATGGCACTTTAAAAAATGAAATTATTACGAAATAACATATCTACTTTAAGTAACTAGTTTACTTTCTTTGGTATCTGAATCTAACATTTAATCCTCAAAGTAAAACAAAAGGTAAAATAGCAGCCATGCTGCATGAGCTCTTAGTGTTAAGCAAGCTGAACCACAAGTGATTAACCAGCAGCTGACCGCTCTCTCATATAGTCTCTTTGTTACGTAATACAGTGAGGTAGAATTGATGTAGTCATCACTTGTTTTGTGATTTTACAAGATAACTACTTGTTGCGTTTTTTTGATACGCCCTGTAATTTATGGTTTTAATATGTTAATACTTGTTTAATTACATGTACATTATTTCATTTCAGGCTAATAAACAAATAAATGAGGAGCTTAATAATCAAAAGGACCAATTGAAAATGACCAAAGAGGAATTGGCCGAGAAAATGACAAAACTTGATGTAAAGACAGAGGAGTATGAGAAAGCGCAACATGACATGCAAGAAGCACAGAGACAAGTGGAAGACATGAAAAAACAAGTCGAATATCTCTATAAATCACAGGTGAGATATGATTTTAAACACAAGAGCCTGATGTGTTGAAATATTTGCCTTCATATTACGGTACTGAAATCTGATAGATTATAATTCATATTGATGATACACTTTTGCTGGCAGATGCGCTGATTCCATTTGTTTTATATATCCTTTGTCTACACTGATTATAAAATTATTTTACAGGGTGTCTTCCGATTGAAGCTGAAATCCGGTGAGAGCAGGTTTGTGATGGCAGCTAAGGATGAAGATACTATACATCTTATTAGGGCTGATTCTGCAACCAAATCTCCCGGAGACTTGTGGAAGATTGAGAAAGCCATGAATGGATCACCAGATGGGCCTTTGGGCTTCTTTATTCGCAATCACCACTTTGACCTTGTTTTGGATTGCGACATCGGATCAGGCCCTGCTAAGAAAACCCCCCTGTGTCTCCGCAAAAAGGATGAACATGAACGACGCCTTTGCCAAATTTGGATTTTCAAAGCAGAAAAGATAAATTGCCACATAAAGAATCGGGAGAATACGGATCTTGTATTGGAGGGCGATGATGGGAATGTTGGGAAACAAAAACCAAGTGTATATGTTACACAGAGGTCAAAGATTGACCTCTTGGCGTCGAATCAAAAGTGGTCCTGTGCCATCGCCCACGACATCGTTGGTACATTCGAGGGCATCGTTTAACACAAAGTATAGTAATAACTATATGTGACCTGGTAGGGCAGAATGCATATCTTACACTCAACAACTTATGGGAATATGTTGCCAACATTTGTTTTGACATAACGAGACTTCAACATCATGCAATCTAAGGAGTCACTCCTTTCGACGACACTCCTTCGCCCTGTATAGTCTGGCAGTCAAAATGCCTGACATGCGAGCGAGGGGAACCGAGCGAATAGTTTGAACTGCTTGAAATGAAGATATCTTTGTGGGGAATGTCTGACCAAAAAGATAGGCGTGTCGATACATAATCCTCAAGTATATATGATCTAAGCGGCAATCAAGAATTAGTACAAAACTACTAGAATAACATTGCATTATACACCATACGCATGAAGACGATAGCACAGCGTCCGTCAATAAACGGGGATTGTCAGCTTGTAACTATCAAACTCCAAGTTTTTTAATACACTGTATACATGTATCTCCCTTATATAAATATATTATATATATAGAGGTTATTTACTGAGAGGGATTCGATATGGGTTTTATTCCGAGTGACAATATGTTATTTCCCAAGGGCCAGAGGGAGATATCATATTGTCACGAGGAATAAACCCATATTGAATACCGACCAGTAAATAAGCTTTTTATCCTATGATATTCTCTCCATAAAATCATTGGTTCAATATCCATATCTGATTTTCATGTGAAACAAAACCAGACTGTTTACTGTTTACAAAATATAACTTAAAATGACATTTTAAAATATAAAATAATTATTGTATAACATAAACGTAAACACATCAATATAAAAAAATTCAACAATATGGTATACATACACATGTACATGTAGCTTCATTCGCCTTACGTTTCAAAATCTCTAATTTTGAACTTTGTGTGGAAAATATGTTTCTCACATAAAAACATCATTATAGCACGCTCTAGTCATGTGTAGACCTACTATAGGGCTGTCATAGAGCAAAACTGTTGAATTGGAATTAAAAATATGAAAGTCCAAAATATTCTTGAGATATAAGTCCTTCTAAGTCCTTCAAAGGAATTGCACAGGATGTATGGGTACCTATGTTGGCCTTTTGAAAGATTGTTTTAGAAAAAGAGTCTTCGATATCTGTAAGTTTACATAAAATTGTACGAGTATTTAAAACTGTTTACCTATTGCTCAAAACGAAACAGAAAATCAATCGTTATCACAACTATCTGGTAGACATACTTGTACTTGTTCTTCAAGACACTCAAAATATGATATAAGAGTATACAATTAACATTTATCACAGTCGAGGAACTTCAATTGACGTAAGCATATTATAAATGGTTACACTTAGCAGTCTTAGCAGTGTAACAGGTGTGAATATATGGCGTTCGTGTCAGCCATAAAAGAAACTGCAAGGACGACGTATATTACCCCAGGGTCGGACTTTTGGGACTAGGGCTGCGCCGATGTTCATCAAATTTGAGCGAAAGGTGTCTTCATTCATGTTGTATCTAGTTTATGTCTCTTTCTTGAAGATTTTAAAAGTGTATTCCAAACATTGACCAAAATCACGAATAGATCTGGAAACCGTCTGCCCGCAGATTGGATTCTCAGCTTTCCAACGGTACCAAAATTAATTCTGATAATCGATAATGTGTTTACATTGCGAATATCTGACCTGGGATCGAGAGGAGACAGACGGTGATAGAGTGGAGATGATACGCTGATGTCAAACATATGGATTAATTTAAATGATCATATTTGAAGATGCTGTAAATATATATATTTTTATTATAATTACACAATGAGCCAAGCATTACACCCAGACTATTTGAACAACATATAATATTTGTATAAATTAGTTGAATGGATATACAAATGGATATATCAATTTTTGCGACAGATCATGTTTTCCACAATTAGTTAATTTAAACCTTCCAATCAAGAAAATGTAACGTTTTCACAAAATTTTGAGAATTGTATCTTTCATGTGTAGCTCAAGTTATCATAATATTTTTCAATTTTATATTTTTGACCCAGTCTGTATTTCATTGTAAAATTATAATGAACTTATACAACTGCAGAATTAGGAAATAAGGAACTACATACAGAACGTATATTATATTATAATGAATATCTTTGAAATCTTAATAATTTTACTGATCATACGAATACATATACACAAAGAAACTCTTGTTTTCCTGTCAGCCACTTTGAGAGATGCAATTAAATGCATAGAATGTAAATATAATGTCATAAATGCTCCCCTTAAATCAAATATTAACTGGAGTTATCTTACATAAGAACTCTTAGTACTGACAAGGTATATCTCGTGCTAGTTAATTGTATTTCAAATTGAAAATTAAACGATATAAAATATCAATTTGTGTACTAGACTTACAAACACAAAACTTTTATTTGCTCGGTTACAATAAGAAACCTCAAACTTTTGCCAAATAATATATAATTTTATAATTTTAATAAACTCATTGTACAGTGTAGGTTGGGTCATAAAAATCAGCGGAAAGTGTCGTATGGAAATCGGTGGTTTTCGAATATGTTAAATATATAAGAATATAAAGTCCCATTTCCAATGTAATTTAGGTAATAACAAAGTTTCAAACATGTATGTTTTTTCTAATTCAGAGAAATCCACACTCGACTATCTTATCGGATTACGACTTTGTGATTGGCCCACACTGGCCTATAAATGAAAAATAAAAACTTCAAACATCGTTGATGATGTCACTGTCCTCTTTTATCATTTTGGACCTTTTTGCTATGTACGTGTATCCATACATGGATGCACTTTTTTAGAGATCACTCCGCGCACACCAAACACAAGTATATCCTTTCAATTCTGCTTTGACCAATCAAACTCCTGGGTTTTTCAGACAGGTTGTCGATCACTTACAATTTGTATTTAATTTTGAACGCATTATTAAAAGTCTGAAGAGAACTGAAAAAAACTGACCGACAAAGCATTTGATGATCGATTACTTCGTGGCGAACATTATCAGCGGCGTATTGGAAAGTGTCATCGCATCTTTCTGTTTTGCCACTAATGATACGTTGTCGGAAAGGACGATTAGGAAGACATCTCATCACAACATTATTAAGATAAGTGTTTGGAAGATGAACAGTATACATGTATTAATATATATTCAATAAAAGCGATGAAACTTTGCCTAAAAATGGCCAGCGTATAGTATAAATAAAATTCACAAAACAATGAAAACACTAAAAAAAAAATGTGACGTTCTCTCCAATCGTTCTCTCAAACCACTTTCTGTTTTTGCTTCTTGAACTAAAATATCATTTTTACCTACGGTTCCCGTTGTTATGACATTGCCATGTCATAATAATAACATGGCAATGTTTACACTCGCCAAAATTGTCAAAAAATTTAGTTTTGATAAAGGAATAGTTCTTATTTTATATGCTTAATCTTAAAGGTTTTCAACGCGAAATATGAATACAATAAAATTTAGAATAACAATCTGGGACAATCCATTTAGAATGCATGACAATTGGATCCTAGGTTTCCTCCATAACTTAATTTGTTATCGTTAATCTTCTTTTCTTCTTTTTCTTATTTAATGAGGTAAATTGACTTTTACTAGCATTTATCATCATTATTACCCTCTTTTTTCAAGGGCTTATTATTCTATACCCCGTTTACTCCCGTTCAAGTAAATCCTACTTCTTTTTTTCCACCGTGCGTGTGTTTTTTGATGAACGCAGTTCAGCAGTTGTCGCAGTAAAATGACACTGCCAATGAGCAAGCCTATTATACGTAGTGAAAATCTGGACACATCTACTTTTAAACACTACATAAATTATAGTGATTTTCTTTCTGTTTACCTTAATTCTTATCTATATTTCTCAAATCTTTGTTACGATTGAGAAATACCAAACTCTTAGTGGCACTCGTACTTTAAACTTGTATTACATAAAAACATATCACATTTGTCTCAAGAGATTCAATCTAATTTCTCTATAGCAAAGGTGAATATTTCACATAATTAATGGGTTTATTATATTCAAAATAGAATATATGTGGTACAGAAAACATTGACATTACATCAATCGAAGGATGTCAACATACACTTTAAAATGAAATCTGAGGAAAATAACATTTTTACTTCAAGGGTGAGCAGATTTTATTAGAAATGTAATTCATATTCAATTTCACTAAATGTAAAGGTACATGTACGATGAAGGCTCGATGTACTATGAATTACTATGATTTCTCCTTGTTCACGATATTCACCACTAATGTAATTTTTATGACCCTATCAATATGGTACATATTTACAGGCATGAGGAGGGGGGCAAAATGTTATAGTTCTTCAAATGCCATGAGCTAAAAAATATCAAATATTGTGCAATCGAAGATAATCAATCTTGGTTTTAAGTCTTTTTTACGTCCACAATCCACATTGATTACATTTTCTGATATTATTTCAATTTCATTTACCCTTTGTATTCGTTCGACTTTACTTCTTAAAAGAAGCTTCGTCAAGGTGAATTTTATTACTTTTAAATCTCATACGACGGCCGCCGTAAACTGGTTCGCATCATGTATCAAAGTAAAGAAGTATTAGTTAATACACATTGCACATATACATATACTGTCATATATTTGTGAAGATGGGGGTGGGTTTGGCGTAGCATCCCATAAATTGCCTACAATAATGATAAAGTGGAAAAAATTGCGATGTCAACTTTTGTCTACACACAAACGACGCTTGAAAGTCGAGGATGTGCACAATATTAATAAGTGGAAGAACTCTGCCATCATGCAGTACGCACTTATCAATATATTATTTTTAGACTTATCTTTGAACGGCTATTAAAGCCGTGTGATTTACTTCAATTTATCAGTTGTCATACGTTTTACAGCATATTTCGCAACGTATATCAAAATACTTATATTATCTCAGCAATTATTTAAACTGTTCAAATCAAATAACATAATATTTCTTAATTGTTTTTTGACAGTTGTCATGTAAGGTTATCTCATTATCAGTGTCAAGGCAGATAAGAATGCTTCTTTACTGTAGGCTACTTTGCTCTTTAGGTAGTGACACCTCGCTTGATGGAAATATTATACGTATTATCATGTTCAGAGACATTGGCTGTGATCAGTGACTCCAAAGAAGTAACGACGGGTTGTCAGTTTAACTATGAATAAAAATGTTTTCAAAAATTACGCAGATGAAAAATAAGGTTAAGTTCAATGTATTACAGTACATTGATGAACCAGTCTGACAAAGGGTCCATTCCAAGGCAATTAATATTTGTATCCCATATGTCGATTTATTTCATGCACTGTACAATATGAAGATATAGACTTGGCGAGCAATAACTTTAAGTGGTACTATGCATCATACATGTGATAACGTTTATTAAAAATACATAAATTAAAATATAATCCACAGAATAGTGTATCCATAAACTCACTCTATACGCATATTAATACACGCATATTAATTTTAACGCATTTATCATCTAAACTGTTATAAAGTGATTACAGTGTATCGCTGCAAGGTCACGTGCAAGATTTGGCAAATCGGATAAGATTGTAGGGAAAATAAGGAGAAGTAATAAAATATATAGTGCCGATGAGTAATTCATTATAATTTATCTTATACCATGATAAATTGATAACCTATTGAGTTGAGATTGCACCCAAA